CAAGTTAAAGCTTCAATTTCTGAAAAATTCGTTCAAATATTCTCGTTTTTTCAAAAAAATTGATCAAAAAACCCTAATTTTCGCAACTTCCAACTCAAAAAACGACAAGATTTCATGTCATCAGCTGTTTTTTTCAACACATTCCTCAGAATTTATCATTTTCTCAGAGAAAGATTAAGTTTTCCAGCTCAAAACAACCCGAAATCTCAAAAAAATTTTGTTTTCATTCCGAAAAACTGAAAAAAACACGAGTTTACACCTCACAGCTGCTTTTTAAAATGTCTGTTTTTTTTCTTCTTTATTCAGTATTTTTTTATGTTCTGTTGAGCTTTTGCACTAATTTGTATCGATTAGCCTAAATGTTTAGCTCGGTGGTCGCAATTAGAATGGTTAAAAGCGTTGCGGTCGCGTTCCGGTTCAAATTAGAGCTTCGGTTGACTGTTTGAATGCTTTAAAAAGTTCCTTGGCGCAAGTCGTTTTTGGTCGGCTGCACTTGGAATCAATTTCTACACATTCAGCCGCTTCAAAAGGAATTAGAGCTTTGGGAGACCTCAAAAACCTGGTCGAACCCTTTAAAATGTCGTCCTGCGCAAGTCGTTTCTGGTCGGCTGCACTTAGAATCAATTTCTACACATTTAGCCGTTTCAAAGGCGATTTAAAGCTTTGAATGACTCAAAAATCCTGTTCTAATACTTTGAAATGTCTCGATGCGAAGTCGTTTTTGGTCGGTTGCACCTAGAAATAACTTTTAAAAATTTCCTTGTTTTTTGAAGCCCACTTATCACCTGTCCTTGTCTCACTTTTAGTGTTATTTCCTCTGATTTTCCTAAATAAATAGAAATATTTCACAACCAGAAATACTTTTTCAGTCCAAGTTGTTCACGAATGAACAATTTCCGAAAATAGGCCCTCCAGAATAGGCAAAAGCTCGGTTTTGGCGCTTGAAAAGTTTCGTCGAGTGCATTTCGCCGTGTGAACTTTTCCAGCATCGTTTCAGTTTTTGTCGTTCATTTTGCTACGTTTTTCAAAGTTTCCTTCTTTTGAAAAATTCGGTCTTTTTTATTTTTCGAAAAAAATTGAAAATATAGGCATCTTTAAAAACCGACCGTTTTCTCCAGAATGCCTTTTTCTTTTGAGTTTAAAGAGCAAGTTAATTCACACATCATCAGAAAACCTCGTGAAAGTTATTCACCAAGAGTTTGAAACGGGAATGTCTCTTTATGTGATCGTCCATTTTTTTAATTCCATTTCTCATGAACAAAAAAATAGAATAACTACATTTTTTTAATCGAAGTAGAATTTCTATAGTTTATGACTTTTTTTCTTACTTCTCTCACTTTTTTTCTTAAAATACAGCTCTTGAAAAAAATCCTCAAAAAAACACGGATTTTTTTCTGTTTTTTTCTGTTTGAAGGCGAGTCTCCAACTTTATATTCATTTTGAATCGAAAAAAATAAATGATAATAAAAAAATGAAAAACTGAGAGCTGAAGAAAGTAAAAATACTAAAAAATTCATTTGAAAGTTCAAAAACTTGAAAATCGGTTCTTACCTCTCGGATGAGAGAGAAGAGAGCCCAGACAGGTCAGACCCCTTAAGAATGACAATTTCCTCCTCTTTCTCTCCCATCTACTATTTCTTCTCTCAGACTTGTCAGACCACCTAAAGTTTAGAATAAATTTGCAATAATCGTCGAAAAAAGAGCCCTTTTACTCCTCCAGAGATCAAAAATTTGCGATTTAGATGAGTAGGAAAATGAAAACGAGCAAATAAGAAAAAAGGAAAGATGAAAGAGCTGCCCAACAACTTCATTAAAAGCAAAAGGGATTCGGACGGCCCCATTTTTGCGCATTTCCGACCGGAAATCTCCTGTTTTTCTTATTTCATTCCTCCATTTTCGCGTTTCGAAACTCTCAAAAATCTTCATTTTCTTTTTTTTTTGCTCCTATCTCGACTTCCTGTTTCAAACTTTTTACATAAAATTTTTTCCGTAAGTTTTTCTTTTTTTGCCACACTTAGTCTGATTTCTCTGCTCTCTCTAATGTTCCAATACTGTTTCCATTATTTTTATTTATTACCTCTCCGATGAGAGAGAAGAGGGTGCAGACAGCTCAGTGTTTTTTTAGGTGATTGTATTGAGCAAAATTTATAGTGTTTTTCAGACAAAAAAACAAAAAAATAGGAAGTAAATATTTTTTTACTCCAATCATTTTACCTAAGTTAATTGACAAGAAAAAAAGCTGCTAATTATTGATCCAAATGTCAAAAATTCAGTTCTTTTGATTTCACCGTTTCGGCGATTCGATGATAAAAAGAAATTTTTAAGAAATTTTTTTGATTTTTTTCGATTACGCATAGAACTTCCCTGAAACTTTATTTCAACAAAAAAATCCAAAGAAAAAAAGATTCGATCGTGTTTGTAATGGCTTGACGCGTTGCGGTCGCGCTGCGGTTCGCTAAAAAAATTCGAAATGCGCTTCTACAAACGTTTCGCAGTCGTTAGGTGTTGAGCCATTCCCCGTGCGACCAAAAAAAAGGTCAGAGTGGCCCCTAAAGAGGCTCTTATTTTTTTATTCCACGTTTTTCGGCAGAATTTTTCAAAGTTTCTGATTTTCATTGAATCTCGCTGGCTCACTTTGTAGACAACCTGGGCGGAACTGAATTTTTAAATTTTTACTCCAAATTCAAACACAATTTTTGAACTTTAAAGGTGTTTTTTATGTATTTTTAGACAGCTAGCGGATGAGGAAAAATTATTGGGCTTTAAGAATTTGGAAAAGTATCAAAGTATATTTTTAAGAAATAATATCGTAAAACGCGGATTTCCGCCCATCTCTGCCCTGTAGGGACCACTCAGTTTGATATTGAAATAATGTTTATAAGGGGTCGATACATTAATCACATACTTAAATAAAAGGATACTTTTATCATTTTGTTGAAAAAGTAAAATCATGTCAGCTCCAATTTTCAAATTTTTCCCATCATCGAAGAAAAATTCCCTGAGTTTTTAAAATGAAAAAAAGTATTTTTTAAAGAGCTGAAAACGGGAAGAATGAAAAATAGGTGAAAAAGTTCTATTCGATCACCTGAGTTTGAGAAGAAACAGTGAAGTGAGTTTTTAAAAAAAGTTTAAAGGAGCATAAGCAGGTTCCAAATAATGTTTCGAAGCGAAAATTTATTTTCAGTGTTTTTTGGATTAAAAACGTATTTTCGAACAGACTTCGTTTGAAAATAACCTGAATTATGATTTTAATTCAAAAATTGGTTGCAAATCATAGCGTAAAGTTCGATCACCTGAGTTTGATAAGAAACAGTGAAGTGAGAAAACAATGATTTAAAGGAGCATGGCCAAGTTTCAATAAAAGGTCTTGGAGCGAAGATCTCTTTTCTGTGCCCTTTGTGGTTATTAAAGTATTTTCGAACCGACTTTGCTCGAAAATAACATGGATTGTGATTTTAATTCGAGAAATTGGTTGAAAATCTCAACTTGAATTAACTGCCTCATTTTGAGTCGGAAATTTTCGTAAATTTTGCTCAAATTTGCAAGAAAAAAGACAAATTTTCCTCAAAAAAGCCCTTTTTACAACTTTCCGGCAATATTAGAGGAGCGTTGAGAGGTTCGCCGTCCATCTGTCTAAAAGGCAAAGTTTTTTTTTTTCTCAAGTTTCCGGGTACCCTAATCAAATCGCCACAGACAGACCTACCGCATCGCTTTTTCTTGGTTTTCTGGATGTCTACTCCTTTTTTTTCGGGAAATTAGATTCGTCTGAAATTTTGCAGATCTATTGGGTTGGAACGGCTGGGACAAGTTGGTCTGGTTCCGTCTTTTTTTGGCTCAAAGTTTGAATTTTTCGCGATTTTTTGGGTTGATAAATGTCTATTTTGATTACTTTATTTTGAATATTCAGATTTTGCAGCGGAATTCTCACCTTATCCTTCGCCAAAACTTTGAAAGTTTGAAAAATTTTAACTTTTTTGCTTAAATGAAAGCCCTCCCTCCCCCATCCGTGTATTTTTCGGCTCAAAAATCAATTTTTTTCAAGATTTTCTCATGTTGAAAGCTGTCCTATTAATATTGAAAAAAATCTTTTAGATATATTCAAATTTTTGCAGTGGATTTCTCATTTTACACCTACACATCTTGTTCAAAAATTGAAAAAAATCGAAAAAAATTGAACTTTTTTTGAGCTATTTTGAAAAATCAGTGTATTTTTTTGACTCAAAATTTGAACTTTTTATTTTTCTCGTTGAAACTTTTTTTCTTATAGGCTCATCCAATTGAAGAATCGAATTTTTTTACATAATTTCTTATTTTACTCCTACACCTCCTTCGCCGAAACACATGAAAAAAATTTTTAAAAATCGAACTTTTTTTGATTTTTCCCCTACTAAAGTGTCCCCAAAATCTGGAAAGAACGACCTTTTTTTCAAAAATTTTTTTACCTAAGAAAAAAAGCCACGGGCTTCTGGTTATCTTATTTCCGGGTAAAAATCCTTTTTTTATCAAAATTTACTAAAATTAGGGAAATATGGACCGAAAAACTCTATATTCGCTTTGAAAATCTACAAAATTGATTATTTTTTTAAGCTCTCAGAAGTTCCAAAAACCCCTTTTTGCCATCCAAAAAAACTTTATTTACAAATTTCCTTCGAAAAAAATCACCAAGAAATTTTTCTCTTTGAGTTATGGCTCCATTAAAAACGCCTTGAAACGTCAAAAAAATTTACTTTTTTTCTCCTTTTCATGAGAATTTCAAGCTCCATTAAAATGGAAAAATAAAAAAATCCCTCAAAAATAGTCGAAAAACTTCATATTTCTCGTAAATTAACACGCAATCTCGGCACTCTCTTTCCGGGACGAAAATCAAATTTTTCAGAGGCCCAAAAAATAGCCTCGGGCGGGGATCCGATGACACGTCTACCGTAAACCCGCCGCCTGCACATCTAACCGAGGATTCTTCCTGATTTCCAACTTTTTTCCTGTTTTTTTTTCGGCCGGAGATGGACACTAGCTACTTGGCCAACATCACTTTGCAGGAGGTTTGAAAATTCTTGATTCTTGAGGATTTTTTATTTGGATCAAACTATTTGAACACTGTAGAACCAGTGAAAAAAATCATTTGCCTTCCAAAATAAAAAAATCTGAAGAATCGGTTAAATTTTTTTTAATTATAAATTTTTCATCAAAATCCATCAAAAAGTTCAATGAAAAAAATCGCCAATATTTGAAATTTCCTTCATAAAAACGACCAGAAAACTAAAATGAACATAAAATTTTTTTTATAATTTTCATTTTCTGCTTTCGGAGGAATTTGAAAGAAAAAATCTCAATTTTCATCCTTTATATAATATAGAACTAAATTGAATCACAATTTTAAAAAAATACACGAAGAAAAAAATAATAATAAAAAAAGAATTCAGGCCATCACGAACCCAGAAATTAACGAACTGATTAAAAAAATTGGAACGACAGTTTTGTGAGTTTTTTTCTTTCGATTATTTTTCATTCAAAGTATATATTTTTAGGACAACAATTCGACCGACTGGAACCGGACTCATGTCCCATACTACGAGAACTATCAAGGACAGGTCGGAAATGAATTCGCTCGATATGATTTAAAAAAAAACGTGAAAGCAAAAAAAAATATGAGAGAAACGAAGGAAAAAAGGAGAAAAGGTAACATCATGCGAATTTTCGTATGGTGTAGAGTCTAGTGTATGCACCAATAACATTTAACTTTACGCGCGCCTTATTTTTTTGGCCTCAGGCACTGACGGCGCGTGTTTGTTGCCAAAAGTGCGCATGCGCGCCGCCTGCTGCGCGCACGCGCGGGGTGTCTCTTTTATTTTTTAGCTTTTTAACTAATTGAAAAATTATAAATTTGATATTTTTCATGTCTGTTCATCTCTTAACATTGCTCTGCACCAGTTTATAACAATTAGATTGCACAAAAATTTGAAATATCAAAGTTTCACTTGGCAATTTTTTTTCATAAATTTGTTTGAAAGTGCTCGGGACAACTTTAAAACGTGAGCAGGAGCACTGGGTAGTATCACAAAAATATAAAAAATATATTTCAAAACCGTATTTCAGTGGAAAAAGGCGAAAAAAAGAATCAGTACCCCCGCGCGTGCGCGCACCAGTGCCTGAGGCGTTTTTCCAAAAATTTTTTTCAGTTCTTTTTCTTTTTTTTTCCAGTTTTTCCATTGTTGCAATCATATTTCAGCAAAATTGAACATTTTATAAAAAAATCGTCATCTATTTTTTTACAAAATGTAATTTTTTTAAAAGCCACGGAATTTTGATTCTCTGTCGCATTTTTTTCATCCCATTTTTTTGGCTTTCAATAACCTCCAGTTCTTGATTTTTTTCCTTTTCATCCATGATGATTTTTTTGGGGCATCTATTCAGCTTTAAAAAAATGTTCTAGTAGATTTTTGATGTTTTTTTCGAGAGAAAACAGGATTTTTTGCCAGGAAACAGATATTTTTAATTTTTTAGCAGTCGATTTTCTATTTCATGTTACGTTTGCATTTTTCTTGCTTGGAAATAAGTTTCTTCTTCTCAAATTTTGTCTAACTATAACTCAATTTTTTTCAAAATTTCAAATTATTTAATTGCAAAAAAACGTGCTAATTTTTCAAATTTAATTTTTTTAAAATCTTTATTTTTTTCGTTTTTTTAAACTCTTGCTAGTATTATACTATTTCTCAAGAAAAAAGAAAATTTTCTGTAGGGGAATGCACGTGCAAACTTCCCCGCAGGCACATGTCTCAAATGCCGCCACTGGGCCAGCGTGCCGTCGATAGCTCAGTTGGTAGAGCGGAGGACTGTAGAGCAGTGGGTATCCTTAGGTCGCTGGTTCGAATCCGGCTCGACGGAGTTCTTTTTGCCCATTTTTGCTAGTTATGGTTTCTGATCGAAGGTGGTAAATATGTTGTTTTTGAATGGATTAGGACGTTTTAAAGGCAAATTTTTCGGGTGTTTTCAAAGGAAAGCTGAACAAACCTATAATTTTTTCGTTTGCGGGCTTTGGACTTTTGTTGGTGGTTATTTCAAAAATCTTTAGGGAAAAGGCAACTTTCATGCTATGTAATTATTTCATTCGTTGATGCTTCAAAACCGCCAATTGAAGTGTTTTTCGATGCCTTTTTCGTCATTTTTCTTGAGAATCTGTTTTTTTCAACTGGATTTTCGGAAAGCTCATTCTAATTTTAGCTTTTTTTTCAATTCAAAATTTTTCCTCTTTGTTCTCGAGAGTAATGACGTCATATGAGATCGTTTTTCGCATAAATTGAGTCCGAAAACTCGAATTTCCCGAAATCAATTCAAAAAAACGTTCTTTTTCCGAATTTCATATGATTTGCTTCCTCATTCTCACCAAAATAATAAGCTTAACATAATTATTTTTCTTTTTTTCAATTCAATTTATTTGATTCAAATCGCGTTAATCAAAACAAGAATTATTCTCATATCATATCAAAAAAATAATGAATTATGAATGAGAGTTTTTTTGGCTTCCGAATTTGGAATTCTGGCCGTTTTTTTCTAGATTATTTTTTTAGAGATCTTCTGAAGTTTTATATTTTCTTTCTAGAAATCACAATGAACTTGAAAAATCCTACAGTTGAGAGCTGTACTTTTAGTTGTTCTTTCCTTCTAGTGACCACTTTTTCTCCCTTATAGGGGCTAATGCACGCAAAGTGGCCTCTATAGGGGAAAAGAATAGTCGCTATGAACTCTATGAGAAAAAGCAGTGGTTTTTAAATCTGAAAGAAGTTGAGAACCCTGAAGGGATCACTTAACATTTACGAGTTTAGGGGTCAGAGTCTCAACCCCTATAGGGACCACTATTTTGTCCCCTGCAGGCGTTATTTTCCTCCCAACCCCTATAGAGATCACTCTGACGCTCAAAAGTAATAAAAATCCCAGAAATTTTCCCATCTTTTCATTTTTTCAAAGAAGAATCTCAAAAACTTCATTTCTGTACTAATAAATCTTCCAGCAACCTACATATTTCAATAAGACGCCATTCGGAGATCTCCCATTTTGGCAGTCCTTATTGGATTTTTTGTCCCCTCACTCAAAAACTACTCGGCGAAGATTATTTGCCACCTCTTTTTCTGAAGGTTCTTCCCCATTTCTTCGAAGATTCCCGGGGTTTTTCGTGGATTTTCTTCCTTTTTCGATAAATTGGAAGAATTATTTGAACTAGGCTCAAAATTTGAAGCTGAATTTTCGATTTTTGCCATTTTCGTACTGATTATGAGCGATATCGCGTCAACATGCGACATCGCGACATTTTTTTCAGCTTTCCATAGCTTTTCCGTTTCAATTTTTCTTAAAAAATGTTTTTCCAACCTCTCAGGGGTCAAAAAACGACTTTGTATACAAATCCAAGTGCGTTCAGGCGTATTTGTTGGTACGTATCCTGAAAATTTTTTGGAAAATTTCGATTTTTTTGACGTTTTGGAAACAGGAAATGTATCATTTCAGTTGAAATTTCATTTTTTTAAAATTGATTTTTGAATGAAAAAAATAAGTCGATTTTGGCGGGTTTCAGGGAAATTTTCGAAGATTTCTGAGCTTTTCTTAGTGTCATAATAATTAATTTCCTTTTTTTAAGCTCCTCCTAATGATGTTCACGTCCTTATGAATGACCCATCCATTTTAAAGGTCGTTTTGGGTATAATTAACTCTTTTTCTGGTAATTAGAACCCTCTCTTTTGCACGATACGAAGTTCTGTTTTTAGATCTTTTTCTCTTTTCCAAGTCGTAAAACGCTTCATCGTCCATTTAAAATCTCATACGATCTCCCAATAAAAATCTAATATTTTTTATTGGTTGCCAAGGACTTCATTCCTCTGTCTCAACTTCGTCAAATCCGATTTTTCCAACGAAATCCGAGTTTTCTGACCTTCCCATGACTTCAAACTCAATCCCGGCTTTTAGATGCAAATCAAACTGGCGAAAAAAACGACATTGACGCCCACGGATTCGGAGCCTTGAGCCTGAAAGCCTGTTCACCACGGACAAAGTGATCCTTTTAGGCCAAATCCGTTTTGGCTGTCCCTTTCTCATCACGTTCCAACGCGATGAACCTTTTTTCTTCGTTTTTTTCTTTTTTCTCCCCTAGAAGGTCGCTCTAACGAAGTTTGACTCGCGTCCTCAAAAACAGCGAAAAAGAAAATATCTCGGCAATGCTTTGGCGCGAGGATGCGAGGTGACAAGTGGCGCGGAGGGCGTCTCGCCAGATGTGCCGTCGATAGCTCAGTTGGTAGAGCGGAGGACTGTAGAGCAGTGGGTATCCTTAGGTCGCTGGTTCGAATCCGGCTCGACGGAGTTCTTTTTGCCAATTTTTACTAGTCATGTTTATTGATCAAAACCAGTGAATATATTGTTTTTGAATATATCAAAACGTATTGAAGCTGAAAATGACGATTTTCAACTGTTTTTCGTGGAGTTTCTTTGCTCATGCCTGGGAACTTGTGTTTATGACTTTTTTGTGGGAGTTTCGCCGTTTTCAACCTTCACGAGTCGTACAAAGGGCTTTACGAGTCATAAAAATTGTAAATTTTGCTTTATTTCGGCTTACTTCTAGTTTTTATGTTTTGTTTTCGAAACCAAGAGAATTTCGGAGCAATCAGGTGAACTCTTCCCGTAGTGGGCCGGCGTTTCCGGTCGCCGAACTCTAGTTTTTCGTCCATTTTTGGCATTTTTCGCGTTCGCCAAGCTCTTTTCCTACGTTTTTTGATTGGGAAAGTATGATTCTATTTTTGGAAGTCTATAGAAAGGTCAAGGTTACGAGAATAATTGCTGCGAGAAGTTTTATTGAAAGATAATTAATTATTTTCCGGCTTTTTCTCTTTTTTTCGCTTGGGTTTTTCAGCTTTTTAGTGTAAATTTCTCTGAAAAGAAACCTCTTTCCATGGCATCATTACATGAATATTCTCATTAGTTATTCATAATGTATTACTTTAGGGATGATTCCAAGAAAAAATGATCTTTCACGGAAAAAATTGAAGATCGGAGCATTTTTCGCCTTTATTTAGGCTCAAGTTACTCGGGCAAAGTCGGGATGGTGGATGATGGCCGCTAAACGGGAAAGGATCAAAAAAGGCAGCGAAAAGGCAGCAAAAAAGCAGCAAAAAGAGTCCCTTTATCGACCCTTCCATTTTTTCTGAGATTTCAAAGGCTCAGGCAGCAAAAATGGTGCATAAAAGCCCAAAAAATGGCACAAAAAGGCAGCAAAAAAGAGACATTTCTATGGAGTCTTTTTCGACCCCTGTTCGACTTTACCTATATATTCAAGTGTTCATTATTTTCTCAACCATCGAGTTATTCAATAACTCATTTTCCAGTTCATTTTTGAATACAACTTGAAATTTAAAAAGCCAGTAATGTAGCCTCCTCATTTAAATGACATTACTGTAACAATACGAGTTGAAATTATTTATAAGTCTTCATGATCTTGATCAATTCTAGTTTTCGTTTTGCTTAATTTAAAATGCTTCTCCCCACGAAGGTTCATTTAAATAAGTCTTTCAGTGGTTCTTAATGATTAAAAAAATAATTATAATACTGGATCGGAGTAACCTTGTAATCAAAGAACTTTTTGGAAAAAAAGTTTAAGGTTACTTTTTTTCGATGAAAAATATAAAAAAAGCTAATTTAAAAAAATGAATAAATCCAATGAAACACATATAAATAGAAAAAAATCGCTCAAAAAAACTTTGAATAATCCAAAATTTTTCGAATAAATGTTCAAATAACTTTTTTTCAAAGTTTTTCAAATTTTGGTTGGATTAAAAAAATTTTTTTACAGTCAAAAAGCCCATCCTTTTTTTGAGGATTTCAAAAAAATTTCAATTTAGAAGGTTCTTTTTTTCGATTAAAAGCGTAAACTTCAAAAAAAGCTGTTTTTTTCGGACGGAAAATCATTGAAAACAAAAAAATTTTTTTATTTTTTTCAAAATCGGAAATTAGACTTTTTTTCATTTTTCTTCATTTTCTTTGGTTTTTCTGAACACAACTTTCAGAATTGGAGATGAAAAATTATTGTCAAAAAACCCAATTTTTTCAAAATCTCTTCAAAAACCAGCAACAAACCTTGGTTCAACTAGAGATTATTCGAAAAAACCTTCCAAAATATTGTCTCATTTTTCTTTTTTCAAATTGCATTGGATTACACTCAAAGAGCTCATCACCGAACGAACCCCCAGGCGATAGGCTCCGCCCATTTCTCACCCGAAAAATTGAGCTTCTCCTGCTCCTACGTCACACTACAGGCTTTTTCCTTTTTCTATTTTTTTGAAGCCACCCTTCTAATGCAATAAAATGTTGAGAGCCTAATGGAAAGTCCTCGTTGGTTTCCTGCTCTTCTCTTAATTATTCGTTGGCTTTTTGAACTTTTTTCCGTGTCTGGAAGCGTTCCGAGTCAACCTTTTTGTTGACTTTTTGAACAAAAAGACGGGTTTTTTGTCAAATTCTTAAGTTTTAGAAAAGTTTTTCCTGGATACAAAATCATTTTTAGACTTTTTAATAAGTATGAGTTTAGATGCGATTTTTTGAGCTGATCCCGCATCTGGGCTTGAAAAATTCCAAAAAAGGGCTCAAAATTGTGAAGAAAAGGTTATTTGAGCTCTTTTTAGTATAATTCATTTTTTTTTCAAAATTTCCAAGCCAAAATAATTTTTTATTAAACTCCTCAGTGGTTCAAGACACAGATGAAACGTTATTTTTTTTAACTTACCAGGGAACGTTTTTTACCCCCCGGTTGAACTTTTGCTGACACTTTGCTTAAGTGTACTTCAGGACCTCCTGATTGCAGAACAGGAAGAAAATTTCTCGCAATAGATCTTGTTTCCGAGTTATGGAGCTTCAAAGTGTGCAAAATACGCAAATTAGGCCAAAAAAGCGCTATTTCGGGTTTTTAAAGTGTCCTAACTCGAAAACGAGATCTATTGCGAGAAATTTTCTTCTTGTTCTAGAATCAGAAGGTCCTAAAGGACACTTTAGCAAAGTTTCAGCAAAAGTTCAACCGGGGGGTAAAAAAAGTTCCCTAGTTAGTGAAAAAATATTTTTTTAAATTTTTTCGCCAGGTTTTGAGCTCAGATTCGTATTTTTTTAATTTGAATTTTATGTTTTTTTGAAGTTTTTTTCCTGACAAATGAGCTCACAAAAATGTGCTCAAAAAAAGAAATTTTTTTGGCTCATTTTATCAAAATAACCAATTTAATCGTACTTGGGCTTCAATTAGAACAACTTATAACACAATTTTTGAACCTCAAAGGTCAAATTTTTTTATTTTTAAAAAAACAAATATTTCAAATGTTTCTTTCTTAAAAGACCAACTGTGAGACGATTTCCAAGAAAAGCGTTTCGAAAACTTGGAAATTACCAAAAAGTTCAAAATTATCAATTTTTGCGATAATTCGACACCTCGGCTTATAATTCTTCAAGATTCCTGACCCTTGGTGGTTTCCTAGCCAGTTTAAGGGTCGTTAAAAGTCCGGAGGCACCTTTTTTTTTGGTTTCTCATGTTTTAGCACGAAAACTAGGATTTCGAGGTTTCTTTTTGTTGTTTTCTTTGTGTTGGTCCAACGTTTGAAACTTTAAAATGTTCCAAAGAAGCTTGATAAAAAAATTTTCGAGGTAGAATTTTTTTCTTTTTTTCGGACTTTTTCTCAAATTTTTTTAATTATATAAAGACATTTTAACTACTAAAAAAATACACTTTATTCAAAAATTGAAAAAAATTTGAAAAAAATGCCCATTTTTTTCGACTGCGTCATAAATATTGAAACATCAGGTTCATGCCAATTTTTCTCCTCTAATTTTTTTCCTGTTTTTCATTTTTTTCCAATTTTTTTCATAGATAAGACTTGTAGAAAGCTCTGAGTTCAATCAACAAGAATTTTTTTGAGATTTCAACTTTTTCTAAAAAAATATAATAATCCCGTGAAATGAACGAGTGATGAAAAAAATAAAATATCTTCGAAATTTTTTTAAAAATTTTTTTCATTTTTGTTAGAATAAACTAATTTTTGTCAAATTTAATCTTTTTTTGATTTTTTTGCATCCCAGAAACTTCACCCTTTCAAGCCTTGAAAATTCAAAAATACTGAATTTTTTTGAAAAAAATCGCGTTTTTTTCAAGTTTCGCATGACTCATACTGCAACATAAAACTAAAAAATAACAGATTCATAGAAGAAGGATATATACTGACTTGTTTTCCACAGTTCTCAAACGCCTCGGGGAGATTGGCGAAAGTGTTGCGATGGAGTTGCAAGCCGACGTGTTTGATTAAATCAGGAGAGTTCTTCTCCTCCTACGTAGGCATCCAGCTCATCGCCGGAAAAACATCTTCCTTGTTTCTCCTTCTTCTTTCATATATCCGAAAGTATCTAGTACAAAATAGCCGCCGAAAATAGCTAGTGTAAGAAGTAGTTTGCGCTCCATTGATAAAACTCACCTTTTTGGCCAGTTACTAGAAAAATGATACATTTTTTTCGTCTTTCTGATGTTTTTTTGAGGATGTCTAAACGTTCAAAGAATTTTGAATTCATTTTAAGTTATGCTACAAAACAGCCGATTTAAATAAATAACAAAGTAGAAAGTTCGCTCCACTGATAAAAATGAATTTTTTCCAATTTTTCTCTTACTTGGATAGAAATTTCAACTTTTAACAGCTCCTTATCATGTCATTTCCATTCATTTCCCAAATACGAGCCCCAGGAAGATAGAGTTCCACCTTTTTGGTCCTTTTTCCATTCATTCCAACTGACCCAGCTATTTTTCGCGCCTTTTTTATTCCGTCATAAACCCAATCTCAAAACCTTGTGTAAGTGGGCGTTTGCTCAGTGAGCAGGAAATCCAAAAAAAAACCTGCCTTTTCCGCTTCATTTCTCAGTTCCTGATGTCGTTCTCTAATTCTTGTTGCTTGAAAAAACGGCAAAAAAGTTGTGGTGCCTCATGCTGGAATCGAACCAGCGACCTTCTGTTTACTAGACAGACGCTCTGCCACTGAGCCAATGAGGCTCGTGGTGTTCAGGGGCCGCGAATCGCAACATGTCCCCGCCTGAATTATTCACCGGGCGCTATCAAACAACCGCAAACATTTTGTAACGGGAAAAGCCACACGGAATTCGGATTACGTGTTCTTTTCGAATGAATTATTCTGTAAATAACGGACGTCTGGGCCAGAGAATCGAGAATAGCCCTTTTTCGGCTTGTTTTATTGTTCGAGGCGTCGTTTGGGGTTGAAAAATGAGAACATATATATTTTTGGAAGCCTTGGGTTATTGGATTCGATCGGGAAAAGGTGAAAAATGCGGAAAATTTCATAGAAAATTCGGGAAATTTCCATTTTTTCGAAATTCTTCATCTAGGTCTTTTTCATGTTCTTCATGTCTCAAGCCGCTACAATGAAAAAGTTTGAAAATTTGAAAATTTTCGAATATTTTAGAACTTCTTCTCTATTTTTCGTAATGTTTAATTCGCCTAAAACCTCTGCAAAAAATTATTTTAACACTTTAATTTAAAAATTTGAGGGTTTATAAAGTTTTTCGTTGCAATTTTGTGTTGAATTGGATCCTTTTCGTTCATTTTTTTTTCTTTATTCAAAAATAAATGTTCAGATGGCCTCGACGGCTGTTTTCCTGTGCGGATCCCTCGGCGGCATGTCCGTCGTCCTCAATTTGTTCGTCATTTCCGCCCTGTTGAGGTTTTTACTCGGTTTTCCTGTTTCAGGTTGAGGATATAAACCTTGAAGTTGGAATATCAAAGTATTTAACGGTCAAATTGAATGTTCATCCAAACTCAGTATAAAAAAACCATTTTGCAGTCATTATACATTCCAAATTTACCAACTTTCTATAAGTTTTTTTATCGAAACTCTTCAAAAAGATCTAAAAATTTTTAAAAAAAGCCGTCAGATTCAGACCAGACTGTATTGTGAAAATTTTGAACTTGAATTTTTTTTTTTTAGCTTTTTTTTTCATTGGACGAAATCAAAAACCGAAAACAGAGGTTTTTTCCGCCTTCCATGATTTTTTTTCGTGGATGTTCGAAAATTTCTAGTGGTCCCTCGAGGGTTTTGACTTTCTAGTGGCCGCTAGATTTTTCCCAGCTAGTAGAAAGTTTAGCCAACTTAATAGTCAATTTATCATTTTCTTGACTATATGGTTTCTCTGAAACAGTAATGACATCAAAAACCGAACACTTTTTCCAGACACCGACATCGGGTCCTGTCCAACGTTTTCTACGTCATCGTCCTGCACTGTGCCATTTTGGACGTCGCTCGAGGAGTTTGCCTTATTGTTCGTTCATTAATTATCTTACCTAACTAATCATTAACCTGGTTCAATATCTCCCACCCACACCTTTTTCAACGCTAAATTTAGCCGGAAATGACGTCTAAACCTCTCATTTTCGCACACTATTTCACTCGTTTACTAAGCCAGTGGTCAATGAACTATGCCTATATTCATATTTTTTCAGGTCTACGGGTTGCCGCACTTTGCCAACACAATCTACAAGTTGAATTTGTCGATTACAACGAGAATCGCTTTATTTCGGGTAATTTTCCAATTTTTCTCTAGTGCGCTCGACTTTTTACGGCTTTTCGTTCAGTAGTGAGAGAAAAGACTGTTAGAAATGAAAGAAAAGTCATAGATAGTCGGGCAGTTAATTTATTCCAAGTTGAACAATTTTTTTTTTATAAATGACTTCACTGTTTCTGAAAATTTATATGTAGATTACATTATATGGAAGTTTGATTTTCGTCCATTAAACAGTAATGAAAAAAGGAAATTTAAAAAAATAAAAATCCCCCGACTTAAAACGACTTGCGCCCTTCGACACCGACGCAACTGGGGAAATATCTAGTAGCCACTTAAGAGTTTCCTTAAGGGCTACTTAGAGAGGACACGGCCACTAGAACCACTTATAAACAAGCTTCTATTTTGCGTCTTAGTGACCATTATAGTAGTTTTTAGCGGTCTAGTAGTACCACTCAAGCTTCTGAAGAGGCCACTATTTTTAAGCCACTTAAATGACCACTAAATCGACCGCTATAGTGACCTCTAAAGTTCACATCGCAACGCGAACCGCACTCTGAGCCATTCCAAGTGCGACCGATATCATTTTAAAAGCAGGATTTTTTTTTTGAGAAGATTATTTCAGGGCTCCACATTCGCCTTGGTCGTGCTACGGATCTGCAACCTCCTCACGATTTTCAATTTGTTGGTTTTCACAACGAACGAGTTCATCGTGATACGGTATCCGCTGCACTATCGACGGTATTTTCGACGTCGGGCCGTTCTCGTCATTTTGACTTGCTGGTAACTATTATCGAAATGAACCTTTTCAGACCTTAATTTATAAAACTAAGCCGAAACGGGAGAATGATCTTTAGAGTCTCTTCATAAGAAAAAAGTAGCGAAAGCTTTAAAAGCTCAAAAAACACTATTTTGACCATTTTTTCCATAAATAGTTAATTTACCTTGTAGCCCAACGTTCAATCAATATTTAACTCCAAAAAACCCGAAGAAATCACGTTTGATTCCCTTATTATAATAAGATAAACACAACGCGGCATTTAAATAAGAACAGAGAACCTACCGTAACCCCAAGTCACCCTCTCCGTTTGCGCTACGAGACCCACTGCCCCATATTTCGCACTCTTCTTGGATTATTTTAAGAAAATCTCTGCATATTTTTAAGGCTTCTTCTTCTGATTTGATAGATACTAACTGATTATAGAAGCTGTTTTGAGGAAAAGTTGGTAATAATTGATTTTTTCAAGTTCTAATGACGTTTCAGTGAATGTAAAATTTCTATTCTTAAATTTCAGAATCTCCTGGTCTTTTTTGGTAGTCACTCAAGTTTTAAATTAACAGTTGAACGTTTCATTTTGCAAAAAAGTATATTAGGTTCGAAAAAGTAGCCGAAAACTGCTGAAAAGCGTCGATTTTGCCATTTTTCTCCACTTTTGGGCATTATTTTCAAGAAAACGTTAATTTTTGTGATCCCCCTATGCTTGATTGATGCATTGTTAGAAAAAATTCGGCAAAATAACGTCTAGTTTTCTTATTTTAATGCAATATATAAAGCGCGGCGTTCACTGAACGAAAAACGAGAAAGCGGAGGCTACCGTAATCTTAAGCCCTGTTGTTCATTTGCGCTGCGAGACCCTCATGTTTTCTCTTCTCATGGTTTCTAAATTATTATAAGGATATGTATCCATACTTTCAGGTTTTTTTCTACCAAAATCTGAAAGATTTTTTTATATTTTGAAAATGTTGCTTTAAAAAAATTATTGATACTGATTAATCTTTGTAGGTTAAGAAGTCATTGACTGAATAGATTTGTTTATTTCAATTTTTGGAAGTTCCAGATGAGTTTAGATTCTTTTCAAATTTCGAAATTGACGGTAGAGTAACTGGTTCCAGAAAAAAAAAACAGCATTAAAAAGCCTGAAATTTGCTATTTTTCATAGATGTTTTTTTATGCTACAAGCAAATTATTTGGATTTCTTTTATTTTTCAAACAAAATAATCTTTTTCGCAAATTATCTAGGTTAAAGTTACTGTTTCAAATAATTGCCGTAATAATTTGCGAAACAACGATAATGTATATTCTGTTTCCGCCCCCGATTAAAAAAAAAAGGATTTTATAGTTAGGGTCCGCAAGCCATTTCTTCAGAACGATTCAAAAAAATATGTTTTTCACATTGTTCGATAGAGGAGACTGTCCATTTTCATAATCCGTTTAGTTTTTGAAAAAAGGTCCACTAAGAAAAAAGTTATGGCCAAAAAACGAGCGCGCGCGGCGTACAACTGGAGGCAAAATCTCACGGTTTACCCGCTGCCGCACGCTTTCTTTTTAAATGTTTTTGCGCGTTTCTGGACCGTTTTCAAATTGGTTTTCTGTTCTGAGAGGTTGTCCGACTTGAGCCTCATGTTTTTGGTATGAATCTTTTTGTACAATCCTCATAAGAATTTTTTTGATAAAATATCAAAAAAACTACTTAGAAAAAAAGGTCAGAAGGAATTTTTCAGCTTATTTTTTTCTTTTTTTCTAATCAGAAAAAAATTATTATCATTCGATTTGGAAGAAAGAAAAAAAATGAAAAAAATAATGTTATTTCGAAATAAAACAGGAAAAATGTGCAATTTGACTCCAAAAAAACGGCTCCTGCAACATTTAAAAGTGCGCATCGGTGTGTTTGACGCAAACACAGCTACGAATGCTTGCACGAATTCTTCCAAAATTTCAAAAAAAATTGCCATTTTTTCGAGGTTTTCAAAGCCGTTATTTTTTTCGCGTCGATCGATTTTTTTCATAATTTTCTCATTGATAGAGTTTTGAACGCTTAATAACCTGATCAAAAAGTATAGACGCGATCCTATTCTCTCATGCGTCAACGAGGCAGACGAAAAAAAGGAGGTTTTGGTAAAACTCAAATATAATTTGATTCGCTGTCCCAATAATTATTTTTCATTTTGAATTTTTTTATTTTTTTGGACACACTGTTAGTTTTTAAAATCAAATAAGAAGTATACCATGTCGCTGAAATTTTTTTCGCATTTCAACTTCAAAGTTTGGTGTCACTTTACAAGCTTCGATTTTTCGCGTCGTTAGATTTTTTTAAAATTTCCACTCAAAAAAATAAAGAAAGTGTTAATAAGTAACATACTCAAAATTTGGAAGCGATCCTCACTTGCATTTTCTGAAACGCGACGATTTTTGTGAAACTTGTCAGTTTTTTTCGTGTTAAATCTTACTTTTTTTCGCTTATTTTTTTGAAAAAAACATAGTTTTTTTAAAATATTCAGTCTTGTAGAGCGTTGTCGATTACATAGATTAACAGAAACAGTTCATTTTTTAAAGTGGGACTTTAGCTAGTATAAACGCCTCAAAACCGTTTTTTTGCAACAAAAAAATCGTCATTTTTGGTGGCGGGAAGGGGCGAGGGCTTTGCGCCCCCTATTTATAGTCAACCTATTTAAAAAGCTCATTTTCCGCTCCTATTCTTTTTTTCAAATTCTGTACTGGTTTCTTTCGTTTTTGCATTAAAAAAATAGTAGAATAGGTACAAAAAGCTTTCAAAATGTCATTTTCACAATATGGTTTTTATTTTTTTACAAATTTTTTTGAAAGTTTCTGATGAGTTTAGATATTTTTTTCAGAGTTTAAAGTTGACTGTAGAGTAACTGGTTTCAGAGAAAAAGAAATTGCGTTGAGAAAGCAGCATTTTTAATATTTTTGGGATCGATTAATTTAAAAAAATAACTTTGGAGCATCTAATTTTTCGATCGGACTTCTCTCAAATTTCAGTCCGAAGTGAGCTCTTTGAAGAAATTTATGAAAAAAATTATGTCATCTTTTTTTGCAAATTATCAAGATGAACTTACTGTTTCAGATATTTATCTTAATAGTGCGCGGATAATATTCAGTCAGAGCCGGTACAAGATTTTTAAAAAAAGTTGATTTTATGGGTTTTTTTCAAAATAAGCTTTTTTTCTTTTATTTTTTTACTTTAAAGCACATATTTTCCCCTTTTTCCTACACATAAAAAATTTGATTTGAAAAAAAGGCGAATTATTATCGTTTCCCAATGTCCCGTGAACACGATCAGGTAAAAAACCAAACGAATCCACCTTTAGTTTTCTTATTTTAATGCGGAATATGAAAAAAATTAAGAAAAGAAAGCTTTACCGTACTCCCAAGCCCGCGTTCCGTTTGCGCTTCGAGACCCATCAACTTCCTTTCGCATAGTTTTTGGATTATTATAAGAACACCCGAGCTTATTTTGCCCTTTTCCTCATCGAAACGGAAGTGATTCAACAATTTTCGAACAAAACTTTGCGAAAAATTTGCTAATAAGGTTTTTTTCAAAGTCATATCGGCTTTTCACAGAATTTACTTACCTTTTTTTCAGACTTTTCAGATTTTTAGATAAACTTTTCTAGTTTCTATAAAGCGAAATAAACAGTAGATGAATTGGCTTGAAAAAAAATACATAGACCATAAAAATAAGCTGGAAACGCCTAAAAATTACTGTTTCGTGTCATTTTTCGCAATTTCTAGTCATTTTTTCCAGTAAAACGCTAATTTTTAATACTTCCCAAAGCTGAAACTACTCATTTATGCAAGAAAATCCGTTTAATTAGGTTTAGTTTTCTTATTTTTATAATTTGAAGTACGCACTAGAAATTAGAGGAAAGATAGACTACCGTACACTCAAACCTTCTCTCGCCTTTTCGTTGCGAGACCGATCCTTTTTCTTTTCATATTGTTTTCTAATTATTATAAGAAAATAATTGCAGTTCTTTGCGCTTTTTTCATTGAATCTGATAGATATTATCTGTTTATAAAGGCTTCTTTGAAGGAAATTTGCTAGTAAGGGGTTTTTAAACATATTTTCGGCCTTTCACGGGATTTACTTGCTTTTTTTCAGACTTTTCAGATCTTGAGATAAATGATGCTTTTTTTCCCAGTGATAAGGTGAACATTAAAGCGATTGGCTTGAAAAAAAGTACATAGACCTCTAAAATAAGCTGGAAACGCCTAAAAATTACTGTTTCGTGTCATTTTTCACAATTTCTAGCTATTATTTCCAATAAAACGCTAATTTTTTAATACTTCACAAAGCTGAAATTAAACATTTATGCAAGAAATTCCGTTAAATCACTTTTAGTTTCCTTATTTTTATACAATGAACTACGCACTAGAAAATGGAGGAAAGAGAGCCCACCGTACACCCAAGCTTTCTCTCGCCTTTTCGTTGCGAGACCCACCCTTTTTTCTTTTCTTATTGTTTTCTGATTATTATAACAATATACTTGCGCTTTTTTGCGCTTTTTTCTTTGAATCTGATAGATATTATCCGCTTATAAAAGATTCTTTAAAGGAAAATAGCTAATAATTCATTTTTCTACACAAAATAGGCTTTTAACTTAATTTTATCATAAATTTTCAGGCTTTCAAAGTTTTTCTTAAGGTATTTGTCCGTTATTTGAAGTTCAATTTCATTATTTGATTGTCTCGCTTGAGAAAAAAATAGGATAATAATTCGTAAACATAGCCAAAAAAATGTTTAAAAATTGCCGTTGTTGCTATTATTGTTCGTGTGTAGTCATTATTTTCAAACAAAGGCTAATTATTATCATTCCTTAAAGTTTCATGAGCAAATATTGACAAAAAATTCCCGGAAATACCTTGTAGTTTTCTTATTTTAAAACAAACATGAAACGCGACGTTCATTCTAGAAAAAGGAAGCCTACGGTACCCACAAGTTTCCCTCTATATTTGCGTTGCGAGACCCGCAAACCTCGATGGCTTTTTGTTTTGGATTATTATAAGGACAGTCTTGAGATTTTCTGACATTTTTTCATTGAGATGTTTAGATGTTGGAATTCTCTATGCAATGCTTTCAGATATTTCTAAGAAATTCATATTTTCAGCCATTAAAAAGTCGCTTTTGTGAATATAATCACATTAATCTATACTTTCCAAAGACTTCGGTGTTTCTTTTTGGTTTTAAAAACTCTACAAATGAATTTGTTTGAAGTTTACAAAGAAAAAAATGAGAGAATTTACGAAAACCAGATTTTGTAGTGCAAAATATGGATTTCTGCTCATTTTTTCTCACTTCTCGTAATTTTTATCGGTAAAAAGAGAATTCTTGTTCGATCAAGATGTTCAATTTAACATCATGATCAAAAATTTCATCAATATTTGTTTTATTTTTCTTATTTAAAAACAAAAGCTAAAGCACTTGAATCGCACGAGAAATCGGAGAGGGAGAGGCTACCGTAACCTTAGGTCTGCCCTTCAAGTTGCGCTTCGAGACCTGCACGCCTTGCTATGCCATTGATATTGAAGTTTTTTATCAAAAGTTTTCTTTTTCATTCTTTTTCATTGATATAAAGACGCTTTTTGAATGTTATCCTTTCCTCCCTTTAAGTTGTGGCTTTTTCAGTTGGATAGTCAGTATCGTGATGGGTTGCGGGCTCCTTATCCCATCTTCTGCTTCGAATCCAACGATGAGAAGGGAACATGGTAATTTTATAAAATAAAAAAATTAAATAGAAAAAAAGTAAAAATTTTTTTCAGACGGGGACTGGCAAATCGATCTGGCCACGCTAAGCTTGTTGATGATCTCCGTTTTGTGTTTTTTTGGTCCTCGGAGTCGTCGTCGTTAGTTTTTAAGATTTCAGAAAAAAACTTGAAGAAAACATTATGCTTTGAAAAGGGATTTTTAGAAACTTTTTGAAAAAAATTGACTTAAATGACATATGCTCCGATACGGCAGCCAGGAAAGTTTCGAAAAATAAGTTTATGAATTTTTCAAGAACTTTCCGAAACGCCAAAATGTCCCCAAATCCTGAATAATATCACAATACCACAATGATCAAATGAACTAAAAATGTTATTCATTCTCATTTTGATGCTTTCTGAAACAGGGAACTGATTTTGAGCAAAAATAATTTTCAAAAGGGAATTTGTTTCTCTTCCAGGTCTGCTACGCCTTCATATTGCGGACGATTCGAAGGTTCAAGGACGAATCGGGAACGCTGAACAACGAGGAAAGCCATCGCATTCATAATCGATCGCTCCATCGACAAGTCAATAATCAGAATTCCAACTGTTCCAGTGGCAGTCGGTCAGTTTTCAGAGAAAAAGTGCCAAAAAAGTAGATTTTTCTCCGGTTTTCCTAAATTTTGCAGAAACCCATAGCCATAGGAAATGTTTCAAATGAAAAATCGCAAAATATGGGTCTTAAAAAATAGGAAAAGTAGTAGAACCTTCAGCTTGAAGCTGTTTGGAGCTGCAGGAGTAATATGCAGGGGCTACGAAGTTCCCAAAAAAAAATCCTGAAAAATTTGGAAGATAATTTACAGCGGAATTAATAGTAAAACGCGCCCATAAAGTTCTAAAAATCCTGCAAAAAAGCTCGAAACTTGCATTTTATGTTTAAAAAAAACCAGTTTTTACATTAAAATGACTTTCATGTTTCATTCGAACGCCTAAAATCCCAAAATACCTTCGAATCCTCAATACACAAGTCTAATCTTTTTGGTATGATAGGGCCTGCTGGAAAACTTTCAGTCGTTTTTTTTAATGGGTTTTTTTTTCGAAATTCAAAACTTTTGTCCAAAATGCGGACACTCCAAATTTCGATTAGTTGGAAAGTTTCGAAAAACAAAAAATTGACGGCCCAAAATAGGAGATTCTGTGATTTTTTCATTGAATTTCATGTCAACCTTTTCAACTTGAATTTGTGTTCAGGATTCTAGAAAATTTTAAAGTTTGAAAAATATCAAAAAATGACTTTGAAAATTGCCCCAACGCGGTGTTTTTGTTAGTGAAAGAAAATGTGAAACCAAAAAAAAAGGTGGGCGGAGTCAAAATAACAGGGCATATTAAAGGCGCAAGCCGCCGTATTGCTAGAGATCTTTGAAACGAATCGAATTTTCTCAAAAACAAAAAAAATAATGCGCGAGAGCGCCGCGGTGTTTGCACACGACACACGACACTTTACGGGGAAAAAGTCCCAAAATCACTATTTTGAAAGAATTCCTCCCTTACATGGACAGATTTTTTTAGAGGTGGCCGACCCCTCCTCCCAATATTTCCTAAATTAAAATTGATACTACCTCCCTGAGACTGAAACTTGTATTTTTTGGCCAAAATAATCTCCCTGAGGTTGAAAATCAATTTTATACCTATTATTTTGAGTTACATCCCTCCTCCCGGGTGGAATGAGTTCTGTGATCTGTGATTTCTGCAATTCCGAAATTCAGATGGCGCGGCGTCCAAGCGATGAGCCGCCACAAGTACATCTACGTGATAGGATCGGTTCTGATTGTCGATTTGCTCTTTCTATGTCCCTACTCGGGGATCCAACTCGTCGCCTTCCTCCACATCAACAATCTCATCGAGATCACCCATGGATCGACTTTGATTCGGTGGTGGCTTCAGGTTATACAGTACACCTTTATTGATGTTACTGTAGTTTATTTTTTAAAAATTATAGAGCTATTTTTTTAGAGCTTTTTCATCGTTTACTTGAAACTGCAAAAAGACTTAAATTTTTAGAGAAAAAGAAAATTTCAACTTCGCTTCAAAATATACTAGATTGTGTGTACACAAAGTTGTCTACCGAAATTTTTTTTTTACGGATTTTAAGTTCTGACCAATTTTTTACATTTCTATGTGAGTTTGAAGCTTTCATGACAGAGAAATTAAAAAATTGAAAAACTGAATGAAAAGCGATACTGGAAGAAGCTTAAGTGGGCCCTAAAGGGAGTTTGAAATTTAGTGGGCCCTATAGGGAATTCATAAAGACCTCCTAAAGGGGACAAATTTGAGAACCCTTTCTCAAAAAACGGTAACTAAAGCCGGAAATGTCCCGGACGTTTATGAGCAATTCTAGGGGTCACTTAAGAAGTTTAACGCTGCCAAAGTGGTCACTAGAAATGCCCTGACACGTCCGTCCGAGTTATCAGTAGAGCAACTTTGTGTTTGTCCTTTTTTGGCGTGATTTTTGTTCATTTTCCCTGTTTTTTCCGGAATTTTTTTATTTACCGAGTAGTTTTTTCAAATTAAATGTGAAGCTCTAACATATGAAGGACGGAATTTGCCGTTTTTATTGGTCATTTTCTATAAAAAATTTGATTTTTAAATCACCATTATATAGTCCATTCGCCGCGGCTTGACAGTGTCTGCGTCTCTCTGTTCCCTCGCCGGCAAGGTCAGAGAAACGTGAAAATAGCACGTCAAAATGAGAGGGTAGGAAGAGAAAAACCGCAGTTTCAAGTAGCGAAAAATGGATATAACGCTGGTTTCAAATAAAAATCTCGAAAATCACTTTTTCGAAAAAAAAAAAAGGAGTTCCAGGTACTGATCGGAGTCCATTCGGTCTGCCAACCCCTCTGTTATTTCCGAATGACGGAATTCCGACGCCTCGCCTGCTGCAATCCGAGACGTCCGTGGAACCGAACCAAAAGCTTCTCCCAGATGAACAAAAGCTTTGGTTAGCCAGTTTTCCTGTTTCAAAACATCTTCATAATATTTTGGGAAACCTTATTTGTAATGCGTTGCGTCCCATAAGCCAAATTAAAATTTGTAGATTTGTAAAGTGAATTTTGTAGATGGAATTTGAAACCTATCGTTTTCAAGTAATCGTATTTCAAAGAAAAGGGTAAAGATCGGAATTTCAAGAATGAGACACGAAAAAAAGGCCGCTTTTTTCGAATTTCCGAAAAAAAATTGATATACTTTGACGATTTGAAGGGGTTTTTTCAAGGGAATAAGCACAGGTTCAACTAATTTTTGCGTTTCGTAAATCGAAAAAAAAATTGGATTCTATAAACATTCCAAAATAGCTTGTCTAATAAGCCGAAAATCTCGAAAAAGACGAAAAAATGGAAAAAAAATATACTGATTTGAAGACTTTTCCACGAAAAAATGCCATTTTTTTCAAATTTTTAGTGATACTGATATCCCTAGGAGCGGCAGAGTGGTTCCTATAGGGGTTAGGGAAAAAAATAGCCCATGTAGAGGACAAAAAAGTGGTCCCTATAGGGGTAAAATTCAGTCTTTTTCAAGGATTTCTCAAGGAAATAGGTACGGGTTGAACTGAATTTTCTACTCTGAAAATTTTTTAAAAGCTTCAAACTTTGCACAAAATGAAAAAAAATCGAATTTCGAAACAACTCAGGTTCAGCGAACACCCGATCGGCAGTTCGAGAAGAAGAAAACGGCGTCGAGCCCTTCGACCCAAATTGCCCGCTTCTGAAGGACGGCGAAGTCACCCCGGTAAGTACCTCATTTTACATTTTCACTTGATAAATTTAAGACCAAAAACTTCCTTAGCAGAATTAGTGTTTTAGTGTATGTTTCTAATATCGTTCTAGAAAACCGTTCTGAAATTTTGAAAAGTATTCCTTTTTCCAACTTCGATTAAGATAACCGCATGTAGAATAGCTCGAAGCGACGCGGTCGCGTTGCGGTTGAGATCTGACTGGAAACCAGCAACTTTTTCTAATAATGCTTTTCTATGCCACCACGAACAAGTCGTTTCAAGTCTGGCGCATTTGGCCCAAGCGGTCTTTCTACGTGCAGCCATGTTTCCACTCAGGAAAAGCTGCGCTTAAAGAGATTTTAGTTTTAGAAATAGGGGTTAGACAGAAAAAGGAAATTTTACACAGAAAATGTGGTTTTTGACTTGTTGCAAAGGTGTGAACAAAATCAAGAAAAAATAATAGTGAAAGTCTATTGGATGAAACAGTAAAGTCAAATTATCATGAGCCAATTTTTTTTGGAAGTGATTATGCAATCGGCCGACTTGGTCACACGTAGAAACGCGGTTGGTTTCGGATATGAAACTCTGGTGATTTTCCATGCTGCGGAAGTCGGTTTAGGTCCGGCACATTTCAAAGCGACCGCTACGCTTCAAGCCATTCAACCATGGGCTTTAAAGTTGGAAAAAATCTTACAATTTTGAAATTTCGCAGCCTGAAGCTGTAGGAAAAATGATTATTACAAAAAAATCGTATTTGACCGTGAAAATCTTTGAACAAAGTTATTTACCGAAGGGGGTTCCCCTTTACGCAATTAGAAAATTCATTTCCGCCCATTTGGCATTGTTCGGATCGAAGTGAACTTGGAAGATAAATTTCAAACTCCTCCAGTGAAACCGTAAACTCAATTTGTTTTGTGTTTTTTTATGGGGTAAAAATAATCAATTTGAAGGCGAGAAGCGAAAGATCGCCAACGCACGCCTGGACACGTGGGGAATCGATCCGTTTCCGGACCTACGGCAATGATTTCGCGCAGGTTCCTTTTTCAAGCATCCATTAAAGTTTCATTTGTGAAAAAAGTTTCAAGATTCGCGAAAAAATCCAAAAAATCCGATTTCTCTGCTCCTTTTTTTTCTCTAACCGACACTCTCATATTTGCGTGCTCTTTCGATTTGTTTTCTGTAACCCCGCCGAGAAAAAAAAATCATAAAACATGGAAAAGTCCAATTTCTTTGCTCTCTCTAACCGACCCTCCAATCTCACGTGCTATTTCCATTATTTTTTTTTCTACAACGGGCATTGAAAAGAGAGTGCAGACCGGTCAGACATTTTTTATTGAAGACAAAAAAAATTTTAATTCCATTTTACAAAATTATAGAGCCGCTAATCCAAAATTTAATGGTTTCGGTGAAACAGTAAAGTTGCATATCGCCTACCAAGTTTTGAAAAAGTCTGACTTGTCTGTGCTCTCTTTTCTCTCACCGGCTAGGGCGAATAAACAAGAAAATAGCACATAAACAAGAGAGTGTCGCCGAAAGAGAAGAGAGCGCAGAGAAATCAGACTTTTTCAAGTTTTTGGCGATAGAGCGCGTTTACTACGTACTTTTTGGGATTTTTCGAAAACCTATTTTTGAAAATTTTCTTCGTTCAATATTTCTTCACGATACTTGCCAAAATTATAAAAAAATTTAATTTTTCTGAAAAAAGATTCATTTTACAACTTTTTGACCGATTCTACTATTATTCAAATTTTTTTCAATTTTCATCATTTTTCAATTCGTTTTTTTGTCACATTAACGTGCTATTTTCATGTTTCTCTGCCCTCGCTGGTGAGGGAACAGAGAGACGCAGACACTCGAAAAGTCGCGCGTATCAGCCAAAAACTTTTAAAAAACAACCAATTGACATTTCCAGCACGCCACTCCGGTCAAGAAAGACTCGACAATCTCCGAAGTAATGGAAATGAGGGTGATCCCGAACGGGATCGACGTCGTCGCCCCGGCCAATGGAACCATCGAAGCTAATCATATCTGATCAATTTTTGCCATTTACTTAAAAAACCGCGACGCGCACCCATGCGTCGCGGTCGACCCTATTCAATGCTTCAGCCCTCTTTTCATTGAAACAGGAATCTTAAATACACAACGCGCATCAGAAAAACCGCGAAAATTTTTTATCGGAATTCGTGACAATTTTTCGGATTTCCAGGGAAATCAGTTTTAGTCATTCCAAACGCGGACATGAACACGGCACCAGATGCAGATATTTTTTAGAGCTTCTCAGTCTTTCAAGAATCAAAAATCAACTAGAAAAAGGCCTGACCGCGACGCACCGGTCCACGCGCAGCGGTCGTCTTTTTTTTTAAAATCATCTGTATGCTTAGACATTCCAAATGCGGACACGGACGCATAAGCAAAATTTTTTATCCTCTCAAGCCTTCATAAAATCCAGAAAAAATGATTGGAATAATAAAACCTTACCGCGACGCATAGACAGACGCGTCGCGGCTCCTAACAAAATTTTTTGGTTTTCAAAAATGCCCCTTAAGTGGTCCCTCACAGCCAAAAACCTTTAAAAAACATTTTTTGATCAAAAAACGCTCAAGTGACCCCTTGAAACGAGAGCGACGCGTTGCGGCTCTGCGTCGCGGTTCCCCATTTTTTCTCTGTTTCTCTGTGATCTCTCCATTTGATCCCTTCTCTCACTCTTACCCGGGTACTCATTACTTTTCTCATTTTTCTAATTTTACATTCCTTTTTTTTTCAAATTTCAACAAATATTCCATATTTATTGCACCTACGGGTCGAAACCCATGTATTTTTTTTCTGATCTCTGTATTTATTTTTTTTTCGAAACAATGAAAATTCTCAATAAATCGTTTATTTGCAACAAAAAAAAAGCGAAGAAATGTTGCAAATACCCGGGAAAACTTAGAATTAAATGACGTCTTGTGTGTCTGTAAAAAAATATGCGGACGTTTTTAAAATGCAAACATTTTTCGGTCATTCTCAAAAGTTTTATTTTTGCGGCTATTTTTGACAATGCTTCTATTAAAACAGTCTGACCTGTCTGCGCTCTCTCTTCCCTCGTCGGAGAGGCCAGAGAAAAAAAAAGAGTGCTGTCGAGATAGAAGAGAGCGCAGAGAAATCAGACGTTTTTTTTAAGGCTGGAAAACTTGGGATCGCCAGAATGGTCCCTATAGGGGCAATCTTAAGAGCCCTTGAAGGATCCACTCTAGGGACCACTTATTCTTGCAAAAGTGGTCCCTATAGGGAGCAAGCTAGTCGTTTGTTGGGTTCACTTCTGACCACCTAAACTTCACCCCTCTAGGGAACACTTCCTTGTTCCCTGTAGGGGCTGTTTTTTCTCCTAACCCCTATAGTGGCCACTCTGGCGTTCCTAAGAATGTATGAGAATGCAAAAATGAACAAATTTTCAAGTTAGGTTGGTTTCGAAGCTGAGAAATCAAATTTCAATAAATCATATACTTTTTGTTAAATTCTACTACTACAAAGTTGCTCTACTGAGAAAAACGAACCTATCCCTTTTTTTATGTTTCAAGATGATTAGGGTGTTCGATAAACGAGATATTCCGGTTGTTCCGGAACAAACGGACCCGTTGGCTCTTTCCGGTCGGCAATGTTCTGCCAGAGGACCTCGCTATGTTTGTGGTAGGTCTGAAAATTTTCCGTTTGTAGAAAGTAGAACTGCGGGACAAAAGCGATATCGCTGGCGGTACATTGAAGATATCGCGAAATTACTGCTATGTAGCCGCGCAGTTCTCGCGTTTTTCTTGGCGCGATATCGCACTTTTGCTAATTTCAAAACATCTTTGAGTACGTGAGAATCGCGAGAGAAACGCCATATCGCGAGAGTACTGCTATGTAGTAGCGCCGGTGTTGCATTTTCTTTGGCGCGATATCGCAAAAGTACTGCTATCTAGCCGCGCCGGTCTCGCGTTTTTGCTAATTCCAAAAGTTTTTCAGTGAGTGAAATTGCGAGAGAAACGCGATATCGCGAAAGTAATTCTATGTAGCCGCGCCGGTGTTGCATTTTCCTTGGCGCGATATCGCATTTTTGCTAGTTTTAAATAAACTTTTGAGTGCGTGAGAACCGCGGGAGAATCGCGATGGCGCGCCTAGAAAAATGCGAAATCGGTGACAGCCTTTGAATGAACTACTAGCGTCGATCAAAAAAAGGGTCTTGCAACGATTTGAAAAATAGCGTTTGATCGGTGGAGACGCAGACATTGTCGAGTCTTTTTTCCAGACATGAATAGAAAAAAAAGGAAGAGATCACCGTTGGTCTGAAGAGACGCTAGAGAAAAAGATCTCTCTCGTTTCTCTACACCCTCCACTCCACCAGTGATCTCTCACCCTTTTTCTGACCCATTCCAAAATCTTACCGCAATTTCCATGATCGCGTTCTCAATCTCCAAAATGTGCTGCTTCTTCCATTCGGGCAACTTTTTCGTGATAAAGCTTTGGATCTGAATAAATGTCTTTGTAGTGTTTAAAGAAGCATTAAGGAGGTTTCGAGGCGAAAATTCTTGGGTTTTTTCTATATTTTTCTAGATTTCTGGGCTTCTAGAGTCTTCAAAAAAAGGTTCCGAATGAATTAAAGGTTCTCAAAAGTATGATCTAGTGGTCCTTTAAGTGGTTCATCAAGGGCTCTAAAGTGTCCACTAGAACCACTTCTAGAGAACCCACTATTCATTTTGCGTCTAAGTGGCCACTATAGTAGTTTTAGTGGTCTAGTAGTACCAATCCGACTTCTAAAGAGCAGACTGATTTTTGGTCACTTAAGTGGTCACTAATTCGACTACTATAGTGGCCACTAGAACGTCACAACCCTAAAGTAACCACTAGAAAATCTTCCCAGTATTCTTTTTTCATAAACAAATGAAAATTGTACGAACAAAATGAAGGCTCTCCTTGCGCTTCTTATCGCCGTCGTCCTGGAACAGAGCTTTCCGGATTTGGAAGCCATTTTTGCCTTCTTCCGCATTATTTCCGGAAGAAGCAAGCGTCTTTTGGCTTCCGCGTACTAAAAAAATATAAAAAAATTTTTTTAATCAAAGTGTGTCAAGTGTGTCAAATTAAGCATTTTTCCGACCAAATTTTTACGAAAAACCCTATTTTTTTCTTTCCCGAATTCCGTAAAAAAATAATTTTTTTGGGGTTGACTTTTTGAAGAAAAAAATCCACTTCTTCAAAAAAATGAATTATTGATTGAAATTCAAGTTAAACTCCTCATAAAATATTGCTTAAACCCCCCAAAAAAATGCTCAAAATGTCCATCGCACGGCTTCTTCTTCTCTAATAATATCAAAAACCCATTATTATTAATTTTTTTACCCTCCAAAAAAACTTTTTCAAAAAAACGAATCATATGACAAAATGAGCACCAAAAAAATCATTGACTAACATTTTTCTCATTAAAAAAATCTGCACCAAACAACAATTACTCTCCATATCAAATAAAAAGTGGGCAAATATTTGAAGAATTCAGGCAAATGGAAGGAGTTTGAATGACGGAAGTATAAGTTTTTCGAAATTTTTCAGGGAAAAAGAAAAAAATCGAAAAAGATTTTTGGTTACCCTGAAAAAAATTAGAAAAAAACTTGAAATTAATTTAATAAAACTGTTAAAAAAAGAGAAAACAAAGTTGAAACTGGAATTTTTAAATAATTTAGATAAAACTTCAACCTATTTATCCGTGGAGCGCAGTTGCTCGAAGAGGTTTCTTCGGGTTTTTTTAGCAACCTTTTTGGTCACTTTTTCCAGTTTTTTTCCAAAAACATTCGAGAGGCAATTTTAAAAGCTCTTGTAGGGTCACCTTAAGGAAGCTCCTTACTTCCTCCTATAATGGTAATAAAGCTTGCAAAAGTGGCCACTCTAGGGGAGCATTGTAACTCTATGAGAAGAAGCATTTCCATGCGAAAAAATTAATAATTTAGCGTTTTTTTGAATAAATAAAAAAGTTAACAGAGGTATAGTCAATCAAGTTTAATAAACACCTAAGTTCCTAAGTTCATGTAATATTTTCTACTTCCGAAGACTAAAATTGGTAGAATTTTTAAGAAAATGGAAAAAATTTCAATTCTACAGGACTTAAATGATTTTTTAGCTTTCCAATATGACAACTTCTAAGACTCCGAACCTTGGGGAACTGGTCAAAGATGAATTTTCTCAAGTGTCGAAGCGCCTTTGGGCCGACTTCCTGCATGTGACGTTCAGCGGCCGCCAAATGTGTAGAATTCGCTTTCAGCGAGTTTTTCAGAGCTGGTTGGAGTTCCTTAATATTATAAAAAAATACAAAAAAAGGCTTTGAAAAAAACAAAAAAAGTGGACACTTTAGGGTTTTCAGGCTTTAGTGGCCACTATAGTGGTCGAATTAGTGGCCACTTAAGTGACTAAAACTTAGGGGCCTCTTTAGAAGTCCGAGGGGCACTGCTAGACCACTGAAACTGCTATAGTAGCCACTAAGAAGCAAAATAGTAGCTTCTAAAGAGGTGATTTTAGAGGCCACTACAGTGCCCCTTCCAAATATTCCTCGAGCAACCTCTTAAGTGGCTACTGATTTTCCAAAAGGTTCGTAAAAAATTCCAAAGAAACCTTGCAAATCTCCCAAAACTCTTTTCCGCTGGAAACGGATTTGTAGAGAACCTCGGGGCCTGCCATATGCTTCGGACTGACGATATTTGGCTGAAAATGGATAAAAATGTGTCCCGAAAGGCGAATTTCGAAACATCGGCAGTTAAAATGGGATTTCGATGAGTTCCATTTCCTCGTTGCATGAGGTTCAGAAGGATGTTGTAAACTTGCCGAAGAGCAATCTAAATTTTTTCGATCATAGTTAAAATGGAAATTTGAATTTGAATTTCGAATATCAAAATAATCTACTTCTTTTTTCCAACAGGTCCGCTCGAAATTGTTAAAAAGTTCATTGAGAAAAATTTTAAAGGTAGAAACAAAGAAAATCTCAAATTCTTGCCAAAAGTGCTCTTCGCAACAAAGTTGCTCCATGGATAAAACTTTTTTCCTTTTTTTCCGATTCAAATTGTTCGTTTTTCATAAAAAATTTTATCATGGACGCTTCCGCAGAGCATAGAGCGTAATATGAAACACATCACTAAGCAAAAAATTTAGTTTTTTTCTCAAAAAATACAACTTTTTTGTTCGCAATTTCATGTACAGGAAAGAAGCCTTACATTATTGCATTTTTAGCTCAAAACTCATATTTTACTGGTTTTTTTGTATTTCAACATTTCGAAACCTCATAATCCTCGCAGACGAGACAAGCCTCGAAAAGTTTCTCATCGATGCCGAGCTCCTTCAATTCGGCCAGCCTGCAACAGGGACTTCATGGCAAATGGACACGGCGGCAAGCGGCTGCTTCCGTGGCGCAATAGGCAGCGCGTTCGGCTGTTAACCGAAAGGTTGGTGGTTCGAGCCCACCCGGGAGCGAGACTTTTTTGCTGTTCTTTCAAACGTACTCGTTGGGTTTGTGGAGCATCACGGCGGCGCCAATCTTCGGATTGACAGCTGGCGGATCTGAAATTTTTTGGAATTACGCTTTTTTGTCCAAAGTTTGAAAAAAGAGAACTTTTGAAGAAAAAAACCTCGACTCGAAGCCTTGGATTTTTTCTCGGGGGGTAACTTGTCGGTATCCGATTTTGCAACGGAGGTATTTGCAGTTCCCGCTGTTGCGCCCGTATTCACGCTTACTGTAGAAAAAAAAAACATTTTTGTTACTAGTAAAAGCTTTAAAAGGTTTAAAAAACCAGCTTCATTATAAAAAAAGACTTAAAATCGAAAAAAATAATTTTTTTGGATGAAATTTAAAATTTACCCCATAAAAACAAGTCCATGGCGATTTCAGAAAGAAATCCAAAAAAAAAAACATAAAATGCTAAAAAACATCAGAGTGGTCACTCTAGGGGTTGATGGAAAAAGCGGACCTAATAGGGAACAAACAAGTACCCACTGTAGGGTTAACATTTGGTGGTACTATTGTTCTGGCCCCTAAGGCTCAAGGGATCCCTGTAGGGTTCTTCTAATATTTTTTTAAGTAGTTTTTCGCCTGGAAATGCTCCTTCCCATAGAATTTATAACAATAATCGACTAACATGACCCCTTGAGTGGCCACTTTTGCAAGCTTTAGTGGATTCCATAGAGGAAGGTGAACTGGTCCTTAAAGGCATAGGGGCAGTAAAAAATGAGGTTTTAGGTGAAAGAAGTATCTTATATAGTTTTTCTTTGCGAATCGAATGGTGTACTCGAAAAAATTACAGATGTGAAAACTTTAGAAGAAAAACGCGATTTCACTTTCCCGCCTTTAATTTTGAAAAAAGCTTTGGATCGGGATGCGGACAAATGTTTACAGTAGCTGTGCACGCGATGTTGCGGACGTCTTATTAGACTCGCATTTTGTATGAAATAACCGGCTATCTGCTTCAAATTAAGGATTTCTTCTCTGAAAAATTGATTAAGAAAACCGAAAAACACAGTGATAATAAAGAAAACACAAATAATCGCTATCCCAATCGAAACCTGTGTAAAATCATCATTTTTCACCAGAAAAGCTTTTTTGCGATCAAAGTTTGCAAATTATGCATGAATCGAAGGCTTTGGTGACGAAAAAAACTCTGGTGACAACAGAAAAAATTGAAAATTAAAAGAAACGAAGAAAAAAGCGAAAATCCGGAAGATGGCGAACCCTGTTGTCCATAGAGCAACTTTACTGCAAGGCGTTTCTTTTCGCGGGAACTCAAGCTTTCTTTTCTCCGACTTTGAATTATTTTTTCTCCAAAACTAGGAATTGCTGTACGTTTCCAAGTTCACCGTTCAATTTGCAATGGAAAGCTCTACAAAATACTGCTTTGAACTGAAACACCGTTTTTTACTGCCCCTATGCCTTTAAAGAGGGTCCTTCAATGGCCCCTCTGGTCACCCCTATAGGGACCACTCTGGAGTTCCTGAGTGGTTATTCACCTCTGCTTGGTTTCTTCTTGTTCAGCGCGTCATGAACTTCCGACTTGATAATCTTTTCGGGACTTTTCAGAATCTGAAAAACTTTTTTTATTGAAATCAACCAAAATTGATAATATATAGCTTGTCCCGTTTTTTATTGGCTGAAATACCGTATACCGTAAAACCCAGAATACCATAAACCATTGGCTAAATTGCCGTATAACATAAAATACAGGTCTCGAAGCGAAGAGTGCAAAAAAGCTCTGTATACTGTAGGCTTTTTTCAATTTTTTCAAGTGACATATTCGCTATCAAATTTTTAGAAAAATACCTTGGATTCAGCTATTTTTAGCCTCCTGGGAACCTTTCGAAGGCGTTTTTTTAGGACTGGTTTCGGTTTTTTTCGATGCCCTGAAAAAAAATATAAGTGAGAAAAATTGTTCTAAAAAAACCATCTTTAAATTCCAAAAAGTGATATCAAATTTAAAATATATTTGATTTTCTTTAAAAACCAGCCTTATTTAGATTGGAAATTCTCGCAAAATCTGTCTGTTTTGAATTTTTTTTTTCAAGGTTTTGCGGCTAAATTTTGTCTTTTCTTCAAATGCAACAACTCTGTTTCAATTTAAAGCTTTAACCTGGGTCAAAACGTGCAGAATATTCATAGAAAAATTGTGGAAGAGTGAAAAAAGGCTCCTATTTTCCTGCCTTTTTGCGCCATTATGTCGGCTGTTATGCACCCTTTTTGCTGCCTCTCCCTTTTTCCACCATTTCTTAAGCCTTAAAAATCTCAGAAAAAAATGCAAGGGTCGATAAAGGGACCCTTTTTGCGGTCTTTTTGCAGCCTTTTTGCAGCCTTTTTGCAGCCTTTTTGCATCCTTTTTGAGGCCTTTTTGCGGCCTTTTTTCAGCCTTTTTGCTGTCTTTTTGCAGCCTTTTTGCAGCCTTTTTGCGGCATTTTTGCTGCCTTTTTGCTGCCTTTTTGCGGCCTTTTTTCAACCTTTTTTCAGCCTTTTTGCGACCTTTTTGCTGCCTTTTTGCGGCCTTTTTTTTCTTTTTAGTGGCCGTAATTTACTATTTTCCGACTTAACCCGAGTTCCTAGAAACTCAAGAAAAAAAGATTTTTGAAATTTCCGTTGTTTTTCATGTAGCTATCACTCTATTACCGTTTCTATGACTCAAATTTGATAATTTTGATGAAATTAGGTTTGATTTGAAGTATCAAATGTTCGTATTATATGGAATCAATGGACAAAACCTCGTTCGACGACTTCTTGTTCAGCTCGCCGCCCGACTTTTCTTGCTTTTCAGGCATCTTCCAAGCTTCTTGAAGTCGAAGACTGGCAATGGGATCTTTTTTACGGAGGGAACACGCAACGTTTGAAATTTTTTTTTGAAAATTTTTTTTCGTCCTTCCATTTTCTTTCTTTCAAATGAGACGTGCAATAGTCAATTTTCATTCATAAAGAAGTTTTTATAGAAAATTTCAAGCAGTTCATATTTATCCTCTATGAATTCACCGTATCATGCAACACAATTCAATATCTAACAAAAAATTATCATTAGAGCATATTTTCAACAATAAAAATAGCCACAATTAACTCTAAAATTCTCATTGGAGCATACTTAAAAATCTAAAAACAGCCTCAGGTTAACATAAAATTTTATCCAAAGAGCGAATTTCCTATAATGATAAGGGTTTCATGCAATAAATCTGATAGATTTTTCCTTATTTTTTTCATATTTCTAACAATAAATAACTTCAAATTAATTACTATTGTTTATCAAGCCCAAATTCTCATTGGAGCGCACTTAGAAATCTAAAAAAAATTTTTTCAGAAAAGTTTATCCGTAGAGCAAACTTTACACAATGATAACGAATTCATGCAATAAATTCTAATTTTTTTCTCCGGAAAACCCTAACTTTACCCGTTATGAAAATATCATTTAATATTGATAATATCGCAAAAAAAGAAAAAAATTCAAAAAAATATAATATTTGATACAGTAAAGTTAGAAAATGACGGCGCCGTTGCTCTTTTCCGCTCGTTCCAATAATGATCGGAGGCCGTCTTCGAATCTTTTGGGATCTGCAAAAAAAATTCGAATTCGCTACAAAAATTCCAGATTTTTTTCAAGATAAAATTGAACTTTCCACAACCTTTTTTTGAGGTTTCATATATTTAAAGCAAAAATCGACATTTTTTTAGAAAAAAATCAACCTTTTTCAAGATTCTATGAATTTCTGGAGAAAATTCGATTTTTTTCAGAAAAACAGCCTTTTTAAGTTTAAAAAAACCTCCCTGTAAAAATTATCAATCCCTAAAATTAAAAAAATCGCATACATTTTTCCAAGAGAAAATTCCAAAAAAAGAAGCTTTGCTATCAAAAAAAATTTTTTGTTACGTCAGGTTTTTTAAAAAAATTGCTAATAGAAAAGGAAACGATATAGAAAAAAATCAAAACGTTTTTTTCGATTTTTTTCTTCAAAAATTCAGATTTAAATCAATAGGATAAAAAAAACATGATAATAAATGGAGAAAAAAACTACAGGAACTCAAAAAAATTTGTTATCAGATCATTCTTGGAATTCTTTTTTTACTATCAAAAATCTTCGTTAAAAAAATAATTCTTCGAAAAAAAGACCCAAAATTCAGGATTTCTCTGAAAATTTGAAGAGATTTCTTTTTCACTTTACAGTTTTCTAAACCCTTGAAAAAAATTCTTTCGTCGAATTTTTTTCGTTTCCTCTTTTATGTAAAAAAATTTTAAATCGGTCATAATTCACCAAACAAAAATCTTCCAATTTCATTTTTTTTTCTCCTCAAAACCTTCAAAAAACCCAAAACCCTTCTAAAAAAACCTGTCAATTCCTTTTTTTTTGAACCCTCAGAAAAAAGCCAAATCCAAATCCAACCTTATGGGCATATCGATCGAGTAGAAAGGGTTCTTCAAGGCGAAATCCGCATACAATTCGTACATTTTTCGAGAGGAGCGTGTCTGCGGACAAAACGGCGTTCGATGACGTCACCACGACAAATTTCACCCCTAGAACTCAATTTTTCATTTTATTTTTATTGTAAAATATAACTTCCTTTAAAATTTTTTTTGAAAACCAAAAGAAAAAAAAGCGTAAAACCCCTGTAAAAACGACGGAAAACTCTATCTAATCCTAAAAACTTCCAGAAAATTCAAACCAACCAGTTCTGGTTTGTAGGCAGTACAGCTTGAAATTCGTCGTTTCGAGGAGCTGGAAAAATTCAAAAAAATCACAATTAAAAAAATAAAATTTATACTGTACACTAAATTTAACACTAAAAAAACATGAAATCCGGAGTTCATGAACAGGCGGTGTGGCTTAATGCAATGGAGGCGCGGTATTATTGCAATCGGGGCGCGGTAATGAGAGCCGACTGTTTTTGATTTACTGGATGGAAAAAATTTCAATGATTTTTGTCAATTTTCAGGAGAGCTTGGATGTATTTTTAACTCACAATGAAACTATTATAATGAAAAAAAATACAGAAAATAGCCTTTATAAGACAGTTTTTTTCTCAAAAAAATGTCGTTTCTTGGGAAAAAGTCTAAAAAAAGTTTTTAGAAAAAAACAAAATATCGGACTTTCTCACATGAAACTTATTGTGAATGTTTTTGGAACAGGGAAAGTCATAAATTTCTGGAAAAAAATTATTTTTTTCAAAATGTCAATTTCGTCGAATTTTTTTGGAACAATCTCGGCCAAAATTCAAAAACTCAAGTTCCTTCAAAGCAAAGCAAAGAAGATTATATAACACTTAAAAAAAAGTGAAACGACACGAAAAAAATCTGAGAAAAAAACTGAAAAAAAGGGAAAATTTCAATTTGAAGCGAACGAAATTTCGACACGCGCCGCACCGCCTTGCGTTGGAAAAAAACTTGCGTTTTCATTTTTTATTCATCTGTGTACTTTTCACCTGCCTGTTCTAGAACACTGTAAAAAATCCAAAAAAAAAACCTCGATTCCGGAACTTTTCGGGGCCGGGCTCAGCTGTACAGCAATAGTGAATAAAGAATGAAACATTGAGGACAAAATAATTTTTTCGTTTGTCGAAATCGTCGGCGCCACAAACCTCAATGTCACCTTAACAAAAAAAAACTATATAAACTCTGAATTTCAAAAAAAAACCAACCGGAAAATTCTCAGGCTTCTGAATATAGTCAAAAACCGTGTGCATTTCCTCTTCGATCGAAAATCGCGTCCCCGTCACTGGATACTCGTTGATCATTTTCACATAATACCTGTAAAAACGACCAATTTTAAAGGTTATAAAATCAAATCAAAACCTCAATTTAACCCCATCTTTTTCGCCGAAAACAACGACCGCTTTTTTTGATCAACTTCTTCCAGGATCACGTCGATTGGGTAGTCGTAGGTTCGCTCTACTTCTATCTGTAATATCAATCAATCATTCACTGTTTAGTTTTCGTAATAGAGGTAATCGACTATGAAATATAAATTTCAAAAAAAGATATTTATAAACTAACCGGATCCGATTTCGATTCCCAATCGTAAATCAAACTTCCAGCGCGGCTGACAATAAACACGTGCTGGATATTGCTCATTGCTCGGAAACCTTGAAAATAAAGGCTATCCGTTTGAGAAATAAACTAAGAGAGAAAAAGCGATAAAAACACCGAAATTCAAGAAATTTTCAATAACGACTAAGAAGGAACCTAAAATCCACTGAACGCTACATCACAGGCCTTTAATAAAGTGTTAAGTTGAGTTTATATGATGGAGAACTTGTTTGAAATAAACACGTCAAAATAGCAATGAAAAAAACGGTGCGATTTACGAAGACAGACCATGACGAGATTGCACAAATGTCGCGTGCGCTTTGCAAAAGGGGTGTAGCAGCACGTTTCAGGAACATTTTTTCTTTTTTTTTTAAAGTGAGCAATTTAAAATTGTTAAAAAGATAATCATAAGTATTAAAAAAAATGAGAAAAAAACAATCTAAGAAAGAAAATAAATCAAAACGAAGTGACTGAATCTCTAGAAAACTATTTTTTTAGAAGTATTTTTAAAGGAACATTATCACAATTCTGAATTATATGTTCTAAAAGGCGTGCAGAAAAGCTTCAAAACGATATACTTTGAATACTGTGAAAAGAAAAAACTTCAAGGGAATTTTTCCCAGTGTTGAATACAAATATGCGGCTCAACAAAATTTTTCTCTGATGTATTTTTTTTTTTCAAAAATGTAGGATTTGAAAAAATTAGGTCAAGTTTTATTTAAAAACACTTGAAAACTCATAAATCGGTGTCATCAATGCAAAAAACCCGTCGAACAAAAAATGCAAAAGATTTTCGACCACGGCAGGACTCGAACCTACAATCCCCAGATCCGAAGTCTGGTGCCTTATCCATTAGGCCACGCGGCCACGTCGTGGCAAGGCGCTCCCTCCCCACAAGACGTCTCTCCACGCGCGCAAACAACACACCGAGGCAAAGAGTACAATCGTTTATTTACATCAAATTTTTTCGGTTATTTGGCGTCTTTGTCGTCTTTTTTGACTTTCTGAATGGAAATAATTGAGAAATGGAGGAAAAATGGCGGGAAAAGAACCCTGAGATTATTGGCCAAGTGTTCATTGTCCATGCCAATCATCATTGATTGATGCCTTTCTTCGTCGACTTTCACGACACGATCTCTTGGAATTTCCCGATGAGCGTCTGTTGATAAGATTCCGACCTGAAAAATGCTATTTTGAATGAAAAAGAAACATATTTCTTGAGGAAAACTTTCAAAAATTCAAGATTTATGCTCCTTTTTCGAGATTTCAAAGAATTACCCGAAATACTTTGAAAGCGTATAATAAAAAAAAATGATTACCAATTTTTTTCGTTAAAAAATGATTCTTTTTTATAATCTATTACTCATGTTTCAAGGTTTTTTTCTAAACGACTTATGGACTAAGATATATTTGTTGATGTGTTCTAACCATGACTTGATTCTATTGACATTTTTTTATCATTGGAGCACATTTAACGAAGCCATTTTTTTGTGGCCATTTTTTGAAAAAAATAATTTTTTCGGAACTGACGTTCTCATTAGAGCACATTTACTGAAGTTTTAACAACTCCCCTGGCTGGCGCGACTTTGCGGCGAGGATTTCGCAGGCTTGCGCCGTGAATTTCGCGAGTATGTGCACATGTTAGCCGCAAGCTTGCGCGTAGAGGCGCAAGGGTTGCGCGAATTATCCATGGAGCACGCATTCGTGATATCCTTTTCCTCTCTCCTCCTCGTCCTTCCTCTTATTTTTCCTCTTTTTGAGTTACAACGCTCAAAGGTCGCCTGTATTTTTATTTAACTCAAGCTTTTTTTCTTTTTTTATCCATAGAATTGAATTTTTCAGCTTGATTTAAACAAAAAAATACAAGCAACCTGTGAGTGTCGCAGCTCAAAAGAGGCTGAACAAACACAGAAAACTTGGAAAAAAACTATATTTATTTCTAAAATGAACTAATTTTACACTTTACAACAATTGAAGTCTTTAAGATGCATTGGATTTCATGGTATCAATCAATAATGAAAGGAAAAAGATAACGTGAGAATGGTAAAAATTTAAGCTATGTTTAATAATTACAATGACTCGAATTATTTCCAGTAATAAAACAACCGGGGGGTTTTTTTTTTTTTTGCAAAATAGTAAGATTCAGAAGACCCAGAAGTTCAGAAACAGTGAAAAAAAAAGTGAAACATGGAACAATTTCGAAACGCAGAAATATCAAAAATACATCATGCCATACAATAAAAAATTTCCACTTGCAAGAGTTCTGATACTTGTTCAATCTAATGAAAAGTAGTATTATAAAAGTATTTTTCAAGTCTTTTCTGTGCAGTTTAGTGAGCCTATTTTTCTGCAAATTTTGAAACCCAGTAGATAAACTTTTTTTTGTTTTCAAGCATCCCTATCCAGGTCTATCAACTAAAAATGTTGCAACTCAACTTGCAAACAAGTGCCTGCGTAGTTACCTGGTAAGGACTAGGTAAAATATAATTACAAGTAACTTGAATAATTGATCGCGCATAACGATTTCCAGTATAGTCTCGACTTTTCAGAAAACTACATGAAATTATGATGTTCATATTCTTGCAAGTGGGTTTTCAACAATATAAAGATGTGTACAGTTGCGCTAGCAGATTCTCGATAGTGTTGAACACAATTTCTTCCTTGATTCATCCATTAGCCTCGGAAAAAGTCTTCAATAAGGGCCGGCGAATCGATGGCTTGGGACGTTACGCAGCAAACGTTCCATCGCTCTCATCTAAAAAAACTTTTTTTCAAAGATAAAAAAAATAATCAAAATTACTTTTTATTCGCATATTTCGAACCAGGGTGGAGGAACCTCTTTCTTTTTGACCATCATCGTGTCGAAAAATTCGGCGTATCATAGCTGAAGTTTTATAGTTGCTTTTTTTCACTTTATACGATTTTTTTGTTAAAATAAAAAAACATATTTTTTTGTTAAACAATCACATGATTTTTCAGGGTCCCTTTAATTTTTTTATATGAACAGATATTATATCTGGTACACTGCGTCCAATAAGAATAGGACCACCCTCGATTATGGACTTTTCGGCGAATGCAGAAAATATATCAAAAATCTGTTAAAGCCATCCGATTGAGCGTAAAGAATTACCTATGGAACCGAAGTTTCATCATAATAGCCATTTTATTAATATTAATCCATCACAAAATCGTCTTTTTGACTCTGATAAACTTTTTTCGAAATCTCTTCAAGTTTTCTGTATTACAGAGGACCTCTAATGTTCAATAAATTTCATTATAAAAGATAATTTATTCAATATTGAACTCAAAAAAGCCACTTTCTTCTAATTTTATGAAAAGAAAATTTCCATGACCAAAAGCTTGAAACAGGATGTTTAAAACTGAAAACTAAAAGATGGGTGATGAAAATTTGGTTCCACATGTCATTTTGTACGATTAATCGAATCGCGCTCACCGATTTTTGATATCTTTTCTAGATTCGCCAGAGGTCCGAAATCAAGGGTGTCCTATCCGGATATCCTTATTATAGACGTAGTGTACAGCTTTGGATTGTAACAAGAACATAAGAGAAATAATGAAATGTTATTCGAAAACTACAAACCTCAACATTGCAAACTTCCATATATCATGTTCACCACTCCATGAGAATCTTATTTGTTGAACTCTCTCTTCATTAGACCTGAAAAAAATTCAGTATTACAGCTAGTACAAAAGAATATCGAACTCACTTTTTTTGTAATTTCTGGAGTTAATTTTTTTAAGAAAAAAAATAATCAAAAAAACGTCTTCGCTAGGAAGAAAAACAAAATAATTACCTTTCTCAAAGTATAATCGGATAAACCAACACATCGAATCTCTCGAAAAAGATACGTTTCGACGCGTCGCATACAAATATGAAGTCAACTAAAAACGATGGTGATAAAATTTCATTTATAAAAAACCAGAAAAATATATATAAAAAAAGAAAACATAATTTAGGAAAATAGAAAACATAGACGGAACAGTTTCGGAATTACTGTAAATGAGTTTGTGAGCTCTAAAGCAGCCCTCCCGTAGCGCAAGCTTGCGCCCTGTATTGCGCGAGGTTCGCGCAAATTTTAGCGCTGGGTTTTTCTTGGCGCAAGCCTGCGGAACTTAAATCTCTCGCCGCAAAGTCGCGCCAGACGGGGGAGAATTTTTGAAAACATTTTTTTTCTTACCTTAGCCTTTTCATTGAGATGCGTTTGACCCCTGCGTAAAATATCCTTCACATCGGCCGCCATTGAAACCGTCTTCTCATTTTCCTCATCCATATCATTCTGAAATGAAAATTATGTCACAATAAACTTTTCGAAAAGCTCAGTTTTGATACCAAAAATAAGAATACGGGATCATTTTCAGTACAAATATAGATTTTTATTGAATAAAAGAAAAAAAAACTCACAGCCACGGTTCTTTTAGTGTCCTCAGTGACGGCCCGTTCCACCAGAACGCTCACTTTTTTGTTCGCCTTAAAAAATTCCAGAAAAATTTCAGAAAAGGATTGAATTTTCTCTTCTATGAACTCCACGATCGGGTCATTATGAGATAATTTCGCAAAATTCTCACAGAAATATCTTGAAACTACCAAAAAACTGTACAAAAATTCTGTTTTTAGGTACTTGAGGGTGAAATTTTGTTACTTATTATTGTCAAATGAACTTTTGAATCTTTAAAGTGGACCAAAAATCTAAAATTCAATAAAATTTCTGAAAAAAAGTCCAAAATTTCAAATTAAAGCTTGAGCAACTTGCATGAACAGTTCAAAATGAAAAAAACAAGTTTTATACTCCTCTTGAAGCCGTAATATCATGTAAAAAAACCCGACTGAAATACGCAAATAATCCGATTTTTCTTAGATCAAATTTTATTTTTGAATCACTTATTTTTTGATTTCCTGGTCTATTTTTTTATACAAAAAAATAGAAAAATTTTAATTTTGTGAGAATATTCCTTCAAAAAAATTTAATTAAATGAACCTCATTTATGATATTTTTCGGAAAGTGTCTCAGTAATTTTTGACCGATCCTTTTTTTCAAACCTTGATATTTTTTTGATCAAAAAGCCGTCGACATTCATTATTATCTATCACGCAGGTTCCCTCGACATCGATTATTTTGTCGCCAAATTCCAGAACTTCCGATACCATCGTTTCTAGAAACAGGGATCAGATCTAATCAGTTCAGAAAAAAAAATAATAAAATTAGGTATTTTAATATTCATGTTGATGTCATTTTTGTAAAATCGAAATTTTTCTCTGATTCTCTTAAGTTTTGTTATCTTTTTCTTTCTCTGACGGCTATTTCAATTTTCGCGGAATCACAGGCATCATTTTCATTGAAAAATCATCGAAATTGAAAAAAAGAGCGATTTTTTTTCCGCTGTTTCATTTCCCTGTTTCAAGAAGATTTTGTATGATATTGTATCAAAGTTTATTAATAACATTCCTTCTTATGAAAGTATCATCATCGATCTCAATTTTTTTATCATAAAGAAGTCACGAAAATTATTTTTTCACACGGTAAAAAAGCCTTACTCGGAAGAAAAATGCGCAAAAAAAGTTCAGTTCTGATTTTTTTCTGAAAATGACTTTTTGTAGAATGTTTTTTTCTTTTTTTCTATTTACATTCCGGGTCAAATTTTTTATCAAAGGCTCAATTTCAGAAGGCTTTATCATGGAGAAAGGTATCGCAAATATCGTCGAAAATTTTGAATCTTGAAAATATTCCACTAAATCTGATTCCAGTTTCATTCGGTTTTCATAATAATTTTTGGATCAAAGATCCTGTTTTTTTCTGTATTTCTGGCATGCTATAAACAACGGTAGTTTACAAAATGCGACCGCTTTTTTTGTGCTCCATTGCGAATTATTGAAATACGGCTGTTCTTTTAATTTTTTCTTTCAAAATACAACAAAATTTTGATTTTTTCGATAGCTTTATGATCATTATAGCGATGCCAATTTTTTATTTCCAACTGTATCTTATTTAAAACTATTTTTCAAGACTTATTTTGTCCCATTTTCAATTTTTCATCTGATTTCCGATTCAATACAGATTCATGACCTGTAGAAAATCGTTTTTAAAATCTCCTAATAATAAGTTTTTTGAGCAATTAAAAAAAAATTTACCATAATGAATTCATTAATTTCGTCGCAGTATATTTTTGAATAGTTTTCTTCAAAAGAAAAGTTAGGAAAAAATACAAAAATTGGAAAAAAAGTGCCAGAAAAGGCGAAAAAGATAAGATTAAGAAACGCCCGTATTTTACTAATTTTCAGTGAAGCACAAAAAAAAAGTGGTCGCATTTTATAGGCGTTCGCACTAGTCGCATTTGGAAACACCCGTACTTTATATCAAGTCATTTTCGTGAGAATTATTCATATAATCCCAAAAATTCTTGAATAATCCTATTTTTTCCCATTTTTCACTCACCAGGATCAACTTTGTTGACGAAAACGGTCCGATTGACGGTTTTCACGCCGAGGCCGAACTTTAACGAGGCTTTGAGAAGGATAGTGACCACCCGGTACTCATAGCTCAAAAAAAGTTTTTCTGTTTTTTTGAAAAAAATTAGAAAAAAATGAAATTTTTATATACTATTACCGTTTCAGCCTAATTTTTAAATCTTCAAAGTTTTTTTGGACTAGTTCCTTTGAGCTACATTAAGATCTTTAATAAATGACACCAAAATGGAATTTCGTGAATTTTCTGAGGCTTGAAAAGTCTAACCCGTCTGCGCTCTCTTTTCCCTCACCATGAAAGATGAAAATAGAGTTTTCGTTAAATCGCAAACCGCTACTCCCTGACGTCATTTCATGACACCATTCGTAACACTAGAAATAAGCGTAATCGAAATATTTGGCTATATATTCATTTCTTTCACGTGAACGTGATTCAGCAGATTATTATTATCTCATTTCATCACGTCGACTGGTCGGTCTCTTTGCCGCTCTCTCATGGGATAATATTCCGACGCCCGTCAGCCCTGGACAAGCTGGGCGCTGTACTGTTCCAACATGGTGAAGCAGTTTATTCGTTGGTACTACCAAGGGGCCCACATTATTTCCCAACGCTAGCTGTCACTCCGGGACGTATTGGACAAAGATTGTGGACCGTAACCCGCGCCGACGACTAACTCTTCGATTATACCATGATTTAGCAGAGATTTTCTTCATCTTACTCTGAAGACTGAATAAATTGAATTGAATTGAAATTGAAATTGAAAAAATTGAAGAATGGGAGGAGCCTGAATTGCGCCTTTGCATTAAAACTGCGCCTACAGATTCATGCATTACTTAAAAATTTTAAAGGAGCATTCTATGCGTAAGCGTGGGCCTCGACGCCTCGGATTATTCCAAACCTTTAAAAGGTTTCTAAAAAAAAGTAAGAAAATAAAAGAATGAAAAAGTTTTCCGATCAAAAGGGGATTTTCAAGTGTGATATCTTTCTGTTTCTCATGTGACCGGAAAAGTTTTCACTTAAAATCTAATTTTATAAATTGGAACGTAAAAAATGAATAAAATGATATGGCTGCGCGTGCGAATTTTGCAAATGAAGATGATGTCATAGGGATGACGTCAGGGAGTAGCGGTTTGCGATTTAACGCGAAGTTGAAAATAGCACGCGAAAACGAGAGAGCGCAGAGAAATAAAATCCCAAACCCGGTCCTTCGTTCTTTTATATGCTTCTCACGTTCCATCGGGACTTCGGTTGTCGACAAAGGATTCTTAATGAAAAGAGTATGATAAAATTACATTTTAGTCAAATGGCTAAGCATTTCGTTCATCAATCAAATGACCAAAGTTCGAGTTCTGTAGGAGGTCGGAGCAAACATTTTTGAAAAACTTCACATCTACAGGTTTGCTGTTTCATATGGGAGATATAATCGAGGAAAAAATTAAAAATTAATAAACATGCGTAGACAATTCGAAAACTTTCTATTATTCATTTCAAAATCTCTCGGAAAAAGAATCAATAAACCATAAATTCCTTTTTCAGATTGGAAAAAAGCTCTAGTGACCACTGAAGAGGTTTCTCAAGGACCGCTTGAATTTTCTAAAATTTTCTTTATAGAAGCCATAATTTTGCGTCCCAGTGGCCCCTACAGTAGTTTTTGTAGTCTCGTGGTACCACTTAGACTTCTGGACTGACTAAGTATTAATCCCTTAAGTGGTCACTAAAAAGACCACTAGGGGGCACCAAAACGTGGAATCTCTGAAGTGGCCACTAAAAAATTTTCAACTTCTTTTTGAAAAGGTAAAAAGTACATCAAAAAGTAGTGTAATACTTTACTTCTACGTCTACCAAAAAATGACTCGAAAAATTATGTTTTAAACAAAAAGTGAAACAGTAATCACCGCTTCATGCATAATCGCGTGGCCCTCCATTTCGCTCCAAGCAAATCTATCAAAATGACGATGATTTCACGCTAAAAACGTTGTATTCTTTATTATTTCACAGGAAGAATCGATTGATATGTCAAAAAAAAAATGGGTCCAACTTTTTTGCAAGAATTATTAAAGGTACATAGAATACCCATGGGAAAACCCCAAAATTATGCGATAAAAAAAATGAAAAAATGAGGGAAAGAGGTGCGTAACAAAGTGACTAGGAGGCGAATGGATCAAGGCATTTCCGAGAAAATAATTTAAATGGCCAGGGGAAAGTGCGCTCCATGGAGCACAGGGGGAAAGGTACCGGTATTCAAGGACAAAATAGCTGTTTTTTGGAGGGAAAATTGGTTTTTTTTTGAGAAGGAAATTATACAAGACGACAGACATTGTTCAAATGGAGACAACTGGGAAGACTGAGGGTCTCGAGTGGAAAATCACTGTAGGAGAAGGAGCGAGTGTCGAACGGCGGCAGGTAGGTGCCCATCATGATCAGAGCGTCCTGAAAAAATAGAATTTCTTGAGGAGAACAAAAAAATCTAGCGTTCAAATCTGAAAAATTCTAAGGGAATTCGAAAATTATTAATTTCACTTTCATGGAAAAAACATCTTTTAAAGCCAAATAATAACGAAAACAAAATTATTGGACCGCTCTAGGGATCACTTAGGGGTGCTGACGCCGCTCTAGACTTCTGATCATTTCAAATGACCCCTATAGCGCCGTGAGCGCCCTTAAGTGACCCCTAGAAAAGCTCAGAAACGTTCAGTTTCAGACTCGGAACTCGGTAACGCGCCCTTGAAGTTTCTGAGCCTTTCTAGGGACCCCTTAAGGGTGCTGACGCTTTTTCAGACTTCTGAGCATTTCAAGGGACCACTATAGCGCCCTGAGATCCCTTAAGTGATCCCTAGAAATGCTCAAAGACCTTAGGTTCTATTACCGACTCGGAGCTTGGTTAAGTCCACCAGAAGTTTCCGAGCCTTTCTAGGGATCACTTAAGGGGGCTTACGGCGCCCTGTATATTTCTGAGTGTTAAGTGATCACTATAGCGCCGTCAGAACTCTTAAGGGACCCCTATAACTGCTCAGGATCGTACTGAGGGGAGTCAAATATGAATTACATACTTTATCAAGGGAGCGCACTTTCTCAAGCTGATTAATTTCGATTTTTTTTTTGGTTTATCTTATATGAAATCGACCGAAAAAAAAACCTGATTTTACTTTCATCAGGTTTCTAGCTTCGAAACTTGATAAATAATTAACTTCAGAAGTTTCCTAAAGCAATAATTGAAGAAGGTTCGGAAAAGCTTCGAAGTTTAAAAGCGTCCGTTCTTTTATCATCATTCCATCGATGACAAAACATTCCAAATTTGTTCAATTTGTGCTTTTTTACGAAAAATTGTTTTCCCTTCAAAAAATATAGGGAAGCTTCTTAGTTCGAAGTGGGACTTGAGACCAGTTTTTTAGATTTAAAAAAATTCTGCCCTCAGAAACTGCCTCGCGGCTTGGGAAAAATTCACGACTAGCTTGAGCCATCAAAAAAGGGTCCTGACACGATGATAGAAGAGATAGTGTCTATTTGGTGGAGAGTGCAGACAGGCCACGCCCCCCAGCTATCGGTGAATCGACAATATAGTCGAATTTTGAGGGCCAGATATGATTTTTCGAAGCTGACCTTGTCCTCAACGGGATCGTTGTTCTTGGCGGCCCTCTCGTTGAGTTTCCTCTGGACGGCGACGAGGAACTGCGGCGTGATGCCCTCCTCCATGTCGTCCGAGGGGTCGTAGTGCTGCAGGATCGCCACGACCTGCAAACTCCACAGATTAGAATGACAAAATCTTCTTTTCAGAAAACCTGGCGGGGCTTCAGCTTGCTGGTCATCTCCCCGCAGAGCGTGTCCAAGTTCGACTCGTCTTTTCGGCTCTGAAATTGAATTTTTGAAAAAATGACTGGTTTCCAAAGAAGCTCTGTGTCAACTATGAACCGCTCAAAAATCAATTGAAACTTCAATCTGAGATTTTATTCAAAAAATCGCAACTTGGGCATCAAAAATTCTTCAAAATCGATCAAGTCCTCAAAACTGAGCAGAAAATATTTGTTTGAAAGCTTGAAAAAAAGGTTCTGAAAAATCTGAGGAACAAAAAAAGGACGGGAAAAGTTCTCGAGAAAATGCAAAAAAAGGGAATTTTTTTCGAATTTTTATAAGATAAAAAAATACTTATTTTTAAAGGGCTTTCCAAAAAAATCGCTCTCAGTTAACAAATCCACACCTTATAAAAAAATTATGCGTTAATAGAATAATAAAACACTTCAAAAAAATCAAAAAAAGCTTTTAAAAAGTAATTTCGGGCCAATTTTGTTTAATGGATGACACTCACCAATTGCCCTTTTTGACACTATAAAATATTGATATTCTCGTTGAAACGGGGTTATCATCTACACCACAATTATAATTTTTTGAATATTTTGCTTTTTTTTCGAAGTAACGGACTAAAGAGCAGGGAAAAAAAAAATGGTAAAAGATTTTCGAAATTTCAAATTTCCTTAAAAACCTTTTTTCAGCTCAGAAACCGTGTATCTTCAAAATTTATAGGAAAATAGGGCTAAAATGATCGAAAAACTTCAACCAAAAAAAGTTTTTGGACCAATTTTCCTTTAAAACGACATTCAAAATACGCATTTTTAGGATGATTTTTTTCAGGATAAGTTTCAGAAATATGAGGGAACAGAAAGCCAAAAAAAAGGCCTCTAAGGAGATAATAATATATTTTCAAACTTTTCCAAAGGGTTTGAAAATATTTTTTTGAAGATAGGAGTTCACGGCGTTTTTGTTAAAGGAAGAAAATTCGAAACCAAAAAAATAGGGGGCGAAGCCAAGATATCCGCCGTTCTCACGTGACGTCATGGGAACGGCAGAGATTTCGACTTTAGGAGCGTAAATAACAGGGCACATTAAAGGCGCAGGCCGTCGTATTGCCAGAGATCTTTGAGACGAATCGAAATTTCTCTAGATAAACGCAATTTTCTGCGCGAAAGCGACGCAGTGTATGCACAAGACACACGACAATTTACGGAGAAAAAGTGGGCGTGGCTTCGTCGAAAAATCGCCGTGAATTCTTTATATTTGGTAATTATATAGAGTTAAAACTACTGAAAAAATTCAATCAATTAAAAAAAATCACTTTAAAAAAGATTTCCGAATCATTTTTCTAATAAATTGCAATTGAAAATTGCTCTTTTCCGCATTGTAAATTATTCATTTGCTCATTGAAACGGTAATTTCACTTAATATCTAGAAAAATGGATTTTTAGGAAAATAAGGAACCTGCAACAGATGACAAGCCTGGACAAGCGGCTCCAGAGCTTCTCGGAATTCTCCGAGGCCCTTGGAATGGAGCCAGTTCTGGATCTCGGTCACGTTGTGTCTGAAACAGGAAAATGAGATAGAAAAATTTATTTTCAAAATTTTTCAAAAAAATATCCGTATTTTTTTGTTGTTTTACACTCAAACAAAGTCCAAAAATAAAAGAAAAAAATTCATTAATTTTTGTTTAAAAATTTAGAAAACGGCTTTTTTTGATGAAAAGAAGATTTTTAAACAAATTAAAATAAGCTTTTTTTCGAAAAACCAAAAAAATTCTCAAAAAAATCAATAATTTCGTGAAAAAAAGTCGATGATTTTTCGTGCAAAGTGGTTATCTCGATGGTTTTGAAAAATTCCGAAAAAAATCATCTGGACGCATTTGGAATGAATCAACGCGTTGCGGACGCGACGCGGTTCAATTCAAGCCATATTTCCATTTTCAGAGCCATTCTGCGTGCTGCCAAGTCCATAAAAAGTAGCGAACTTTTTGGGAAAAAAATACAAAACTTTCCTGTTTCGCTATTACTACTTCAATAAACAACTTGATCATTCATCATTGATTTTCGATGCATATTTTCTCTCATACTAACTTGATCTGAATGGCCTTTTCGAAATTGCAGAGTTCCTTGCGGAACATCAAGTGATTTAGCGATAGGGCGCACATCCAGTTGGTCATTTGGCCGATTACCTGGAAATATTCCAAATTAGGCATGTTATATAAATCAATTTTTACCTGTCCGACGACAATATTATCAGCGCCATAGGTGACGAGCTTCGTGTGGACCAGATCCAACTGGAAAAAAGAAAAAAATTAAGATTTTTTTCGTCTTTTTTCTCAGGTATTTTAAACTTTATGATACCCTGATTCCAATAAAGTTGAAAAAAGGTGCGCTTTTTCGGTTCTAGTAGAGTTATGGCATCTCAAAGTTTGCGCGCGAAAAATGCATCATATGGAGGAGGGAATATGTCGCGGCGGCTAACTTCGCCTGCCAGCCGGTGGCGTGGTGTAGTGGCTAGCAGGCTTGCACTGTGGAACGCATGAAGCAGGTTCGAATCCTTTTCGGTGAACTTTTTTTGCCATTTTATTTTCTGCGGAAAATTTGATGAATTTTTGTAGATAGTACAAAGAATACCACGCAAAACTTTGAAATTAATTATTTCATGTCGTTTTGAGAAAAAATTTCGAACAAAGTTAATGAATCAGAAAAAAAAATTAAACAACGTTTTTTGCAATAGATTACAGAATATTTGGCTTATTGTCATATTAATGTTGAAAAAAAAAGATATCATTTTCAACTCACGAATTGGAGCAAATCGTCGAGACCGCGTCTGGGAGTGTCGCCGTTGGAAACTCGCGAAACGTCTCTTTCGCGGCCGCTGGTCATCAGATCACTGCTGCTCTCGTGTTGCAAGACGGCCGGTACTGAGAAAAATATAAATTACCTGAAAGCCAACTGGCAAACTCTCTTTTTGCTTGTAAATCTCATATCGAAACAAAAAAAACTGTAATTTTCAAATAAAAACCAACCGAATAGCTCTCTTTCAGCTTACAGAAGTAGAAAACGAAAGCAAAAAACGGCCAGTACTTGAAGTAGAAGTCTTATAAATTATGAAAGGAAACCGGAAGACTTTTTTTTCCTTTTCGGGCAAAGCCGGAATGGTGGATAATGGCCGCTAATAGGGAGAGGCTCAAAAAAAGCCGGTGAAAGGCAGCAAAAAGGCTGCAAAAAGGCTGCAAAAAGGGTCCCTTTATCGAGCCTTCCATTTTTTCTGGGACTTTAAAGGCTCGAGAAATGTTGGAAAAGGGAAAGGCAGCAAAAATGGTGCATATGGGCTGAGAAAATGGCGCAAAAAGGAGCCTTCATCACCCTAAATGGAACATTTTTTCTGGACCTTTATCGAGTCTTTCCGACTTTGCCTATGTTTTAAAAACTCATCTCGAAGCAAAACAAGTGAATAAATACAACAGAGGATCATCTACTTAATTTTCAGATATATTTGGTCGTTTTGATTAATTTTTCGACTTCCCCTTGTTCTGTTTCTGAAAAATGGGACATCATTTGATCTCTCGAAGGAAATTTCTTATTTCTTTTGAAACTGAAGAGCGAACTGCTTTGTTACTTCAGAAAACACGATCTGATTCAAGAAGAAGGTTTGAAGAAGCCGTAAAGTGACTTCAAACACTGTATATATGAAGGTCTTTCTTTGAAAGTATATAATTATTCACACGAATATCCACTTCATCAAAGTAATATTGTAATATTAAACTCTTGAAAAGGTAATGTTATTTATCTCGACCCCATGATTCCTCACAAAGCAGTTTCAAGCTTGTTTCTTGAGAAAAAAAGTTCAGAATATTTGATTGACGCTGTGAAAACTCTATTTTTCTTGATTCTCAATCAATCAAATCAATCAAATCATTTATTTTGTTGTTTTAGTCCGATGTAATCGACTAGACGGTGAACAAGAACTTTAAAAAGCTATAACGAACAACCGCCTTTGGCGAGCTAGAAGTCCAAACGTGTAGTCGAAAGAGTTGAAAGCATGTTCTTACGGTCCTTCGTCTTGTCCTTCTGCGCGTAGTCCATCCAGTTGCGCCTTGACGAGCTCGGAATGTAGTGGATGTTGAGCTGGAGCCCGGAGACCGTGCTCTAGGTGGAAGCCTCAGAAGGAGAGCGACCACTTCGAGTGAAGATTTTACACGGAATGAAGATTTTACACGGAATTCTAATTTTTTTTTTCGAATAAACTCACCAATTTTGGGGCTGAGGACGTGTTCGACGGCCCGTTTCATCAGAGCCGTATAGCTCTCTTCGACTCTCAATTTCAACTGATCTCTGATCGGCGTGACATCATAGGACTTGAATCGGTACGAGTTCTGCTGCTCCGTGTTGGCCGCTTGCCATTCCTGCAAAATGATCAATTCGAATTCAAAACGCAAAATTTGTTGCCTCAACAAATAATTCACTTATGAAAATAGGAAAAAAACTTTGAAATTTCAAGGGTTTATGGAAATTTTTCCAGATAAAAAAACCGAAAAAAATTCATTAAAAAAAAATTTTTTTAATTTTTTTCATTCACTTTTTTTCAACGCAATAAAACGAGAGATTTTAAAAAAATCTATATTTCACGAAAATCTCAAATATAGGAACGAAAAAAATGCAATTTGAGGGAAAAAAATCAATAATGATTCTGCGACAAGAATCGGTGTACACTAAATTCCTTACCGTAATAATTTTTTTCCAAAAAAATTTTTGTAGAAATTATTTCAGATCCTTTTTTTCTGACCAGGACAAAGAAATTTTCATGAGAAAAAAACAGAAAAAAATGAAATGAAACAAGAAAAAAAATTTTTGTCCATAGAGCAACTTTTTCCGCACAATGCCTTGTGTACAGATTTTTTTTTTCGTTTTTTCTTGAAATGATTTTTGTTCAAAAAGTGGAAACTTCTTTTTCAAATACTTATTTTCCACTAGCCATGCTTGGTTTTCAAATATTTGCCATAATTACCGGGTTCCGATCGTCGCCCCCATATTGGCGAAGAAGATTGAACAGCCGCCAAGTGTTCACTAACCATAGCGACAGTACGTCGAGATCATGCGAACGCTGTAAATCGATATTTAAATTAAGTTTAGTGGAAAAAAGTGTACTGAATCTGACTAAGGAACGCCCCCAATAAAATAAGTCTCCCTAGAAGGAGCACTTCCATATTCCCCAGTACTTTAAAGCTTCTTAACTGAAAATTGTGAGAATTTTGATTTTTGTTATAGTATCCGAAGGTCCTGAAGTGCATTTCAGGAAAGTTACAAGTCGGCAAAAATGACATCCGGGGGAAGGATTCGAACCCTGGTCTCAATATTGACAGTGCACGACCACTACCACTACACCACGCGGCCAGTTGCTAGTCAAAGGCTGCGAGTGAGGGTATATACGCGCTGGGAAGCTTTCGACGAGCTTTTTCTCGGTTTCTGAGGGGTTTATAGTCTGTTCAGATTTTGAATGTCAAGTCGTCGCTCAAGCTCCGCCCATAATGGTGCGATAAACCAATCAGAGAGCGAGCCATCCACAGAGTGATAGTGGTTTCTACAGAGACAACCCTAGTTAGTTAGGAAAAAAGAAGAAAACGAACGCTGAGCGTATCTTTGAGGACAAGATGGACCGCAGAAAAAAGGCTGGTGAGCGACGCCTCGTCGCGTTTCTCATCGTGAAGTCGGAACGCGGCCAGGACCAGGTAGGCCGGCAGGTTTTTGGTCAGAAGACGGGCCAGTCGGGGCTTCAGTTCTGGAATAAACTGCATTTGATGGGAAAAATGGGTGTTTTTAGTTCAGTCCAATTTAAACTTCTATAGTCAATGTTTATCGACTTAATAGGCGAAGAAGGCGGGGCAAGGGGCGGGACGCGTAGCGTGTGCGTTCGCGGTTCTTGGCGCGAGTTCAATACAATTGTCGCCGACTATTTAAAAAGCTCGGCAACCGCTCTTTTTCAATGTTCTCTACTATTTTTTGATGCACTCATGAACATAATCAATAAATAATTGAAAAAGGAATGAAAAAAGCGAAAAACGGGCTTTTCAAAGAGTCGATGTCGGTTGAGTTGAACTCGTGCCAATAACCGCGAACGCACACGCTACGCGTCCCGCCCCCTGCCCCGCTCTAATAATGGCCCAAGGAAGCCAAAAATTATAGTTATTCACAAGAAATTTTTCATCAAAATAACTCCTCCAAAAATAGCGATCATTCCTGTTTCACGATATCTTTGAAAATTTCTCAAAATGAGTTCGAGCAATCAATTCCATTTTGATCACACTTTGAAAAAAATTTTTCATAAGCTTTTTAAATTAAAATAATTTCTAACTCCTCAAAATCAAATTTAACGGATACTTATGGGCGTGGCCTGTCTGCCCTCTCCATCAACCACATAATATCTCTTTCTTTTTTTTTTTTGAAATTCGTGTCAGGACCCATTTTCGATGGATCAAGCCGGCCTTATGATCAAAAACTGACCACAAACGATGATTCTGGCGAATTCGGGCACGTTGTAGACCTCCAGAAGGCCGCCGTGGGGGATATTCTCCTTTTGGAACGCTTCCAAGCGAATTATATCCGCGTCCGACGTGTTCTCTGCAATGAAAAATCGATAGTATTGATTTTAAAAAATCAATAAAAAATCAAGGATATCATAATGAAGCCTGAAAGTTCAGTTAATCACAAAAAACATAAAAAAGCATGCGAAAGGACCAAAAAAACCACTAATTTTCAAAATCACCGCTTTTTCTTCTCGTTTTCTGCACTTAATAATAAAAAATAATGGAATTTAAATGTCAATAAAAATCAAAAATGAATTGTTAAAAGCCTGAAAGTTCTGTAAATAACAACAATCATAACAAAATTATGCAAAATGGTCAAAAAAAGCCACGAAATTCTCCAATTGTTTGCCCCTAAGGTGCAAAATTTGAATACATGAAGCTGTGAGAGCCAAAAAATCAGTTTCTCGAAGGGATTTTATAAAAACCATTTTTGAAACCGATTTGTGAGAAATCCTCGAGTCAAAATAAACGACATTACTTTTTCAAAAGTTCGCTTTAAATTGAAGCTTCAATGTTATTTTGATCGTGCGTGTTTTCATCTACAAATGAAAAAAGGTATAGGTTCGATCGATTTTTTATGATGACTATTTTTGAAAGTTTTCGAAGTTTTTTATGTCTAAAAAATATTTACGTCTCCAAAATTCGTGGAGTTATGACTCGGGATGGTGGTTAATGGCTGCTAAAAGGGAGAAGCTCAAAAAAAGCATCAGAAAGGCTGCAAAAAAGCTGCAGAATAAGAACAAAATGATTCCCTTTATGGACCCTTCCAATTTTTTTGGGATCTTGAAGGCTCAAGAAATGGTGGAAAAGGGAGAGGCAGCAAAAACGGTGCATAATGGCCGATGAAACGGCACAAAAAGGCAACAAAAGGGAAAATTTCTATGAACCCCTTTCCATCCTTCGCACTTTGTTTTACAGTAGAAAACATAATTCAGCGACTTTATAAAAAACAAGTTTGAAACCGATTTGTGATGTACCATCGAGTTGAAATAAATGACTTTGCTTTTTTTCAAAAGTTTTCTTAATGTTTCAACATCATTTTTTTAAATTAATAGATCTTTACACAACAATGAAAAAAACTTTCAAAAAAACTACATTTTTTTAAAATTCCAGTAGTTTCCAACTACAAATCACTGTTGGAATTTTCGAAAAAGTGGTTAAATTCGAATTTTTTCTTCTAATGGACTCAGTAAGTTCTACCAAAAGACAAAAAAGAGAAAGTGGACGAAAAATAAGGAAAAAAGGAACATTGTAATGCCATAAAAGGGTTAGTGTTTTAGTGGGTTTTGTCCAAAAATAACCGCTTTTTTCTGATCAAATTGATTCTTTTCCAATTCCAAAAAAGGAAGTTTCCAAAAGTGGAATTGAAACTTGAGAAGAAAAACGACATGAATCTGATCAGTTGAATTTTTTTCAGATATAGTTAAAATTTGGAAAAATTTATACATATTTTTTTAGAGTTCTGATAAAATTTTATAATGGTCTTACAACCATTTGAAAGTAGGAAATGTCGAGAAAAAAAGGAAATTATTGATTTTTTTCGAAGCTTTTTTTAGATTTATAACTTGATTTTTGTACAAAAGAAATCCATACTTTAAAAAAAATGACTAAAAAAACTTCGCTTTAAAATTCAATTCTTCACAAAAATCACTAAGGTCTCCAAAAAAAAAATTCGAAATTTCAAAACTCAAAAATGTTCGCATTTTCAAGCAGTTTTCTATTGAGATGCCAAAAAAATCCATAAAAAAGTTCTAAAAATTCGAATAAGATCTAAATAAAATGGTAATACTTCAAATCCATTCCTCATCAAAGAAATTTGAAACAGTGAACTGATCTCGAAAAATGACAATTTGTCGGTTGAAAAGAAAAGAAGTTTCCAGTTTTTCCTCGTAGCTTGTGATGTTCTCATTTTTTTATTGACACAGGAAAAAGTGATTCTACTCGGTCGGGAACCGGGTTTCGAAGAATTTTTTTATAAGAAGGTTGATTTGAGAGTCCTTCATGCCGTTTTTTTCAAAAATAAAAAAAGTAATAAAAAGGACCAAAACCTAAGAAAATATACTCCAATTCAAAAGAGCTTCTTGACGATTTCAGGCTTTTTTTAGTTAAGAAAAAAATCATTGTCCAAAAACTTCTCCCACTGGAAAATCTCAAGATCAACCTTTGAAAAAAACGAAAAAAAAATTTTTGAAATTTTTATTATGGAGTTTTTTTCAAAACGGCTTATCTCCCTTAAAAAAACAAGCTATTTCTATTCGGAAAAAAATTTAAAAAAACTCGGAAATGGAAAAAAATGGAAAAAAAGAACTCTTCAAAAAAACTTCAAAAAAATCTAAATTTACAAGATTTTTCTGGACAATTTTCGGTATTTTTTTGATTGAAACAATGTTTTTTTCTGGGTCAAATCTGAATTTTTTTACAACTTTTTCTGATTAGATATTCTTTCAATTCATCCTTTATAATTCAAAAAAATTAGAAAAGTTTAAAATTAAAAAAAAATTTTTTTAGAATTTTTTTCACAGTGATGACTTTCCTAGAAAAAAAGGCCATTTTGAGGAGGAACTTTTTGAAATTATCAAATGAAATGTAAATAACGATCAAGATCAACAGAAAAAAATCGAGAAAAGATAAAACCCATAAAAAAACCTAAGCAATTTCAAAAATATAAACTTTTTTTAATTCATATTTTTTTCAAAATGTTAATTTTTTTCTAGAAGAACGGCTATTTTGAATGGAAAAATTTCTGAAATTATCAAATCAAAGGTCAGAAAAATGATCAAGAACATTCAAGAAAAACGGAAAAAAAACGAAATCAAAAAAAAATCCAAGAATTTTGAAAAATTTGAACTTTTATCTCTTCAGAAATTTTTTTCACAATGTTAATCTTTCTAGAAAAAAACGGCTATTTTAAGGGGGAAATTTCCGAAATTATCAAGTCAAGGGTCAGTAAAGAACATCAGAAAAAAATAGAAAAAAAGAAAAAAACCAACAGCTGAAAATATCATCATTTTGTTATTCCCTTGCGGAAATTCCAACCTATTCACCGACTTTTTCTCGGCTTTTTCTTTTTCATTTTATTATTCAAAAACAAACCGGTTATGACATTATTCTCATAACCAACATCTTCACAACAAAAGAAACGAAAAAAGGGAATTTTTTCCGTTCCGAAACTCCTACTTTTCCACTAATACGATTACATTTTCAAGGTTTTTCCTGTTAAATTTCTAAGTGAGACTTAAAAATCTAATCAAATTATGGTCTAGTTCAAACGTTCATTTTTCAAAAACAAAGTTTTTAAACCAAAAAGGGAATCAGGAAGTATTTTTTTAAGCTTCATATGATCCGTTTTAAGGAGGATTATTGAAAATTTCTGAAAAAAATATATATTTTTTTGAAGGATAGACATACAGAATGAATAATATCCGACAAAAAACAATGAAAAATTACTTGAGAATTTCAGAAAAATCTTCGAAATTCATCCAAAACTCCTTTTTAAACAACAAATACTAGCTTCTTAGGTTGAATTACAAGTTTAAAAAAACAAAAAAATTGAGAAATTAAAAAAATTTCAAAGTCGGATTTTTAAATAAGAAACACTTACTGCTGATACTAATTTATAATTTTTTTAAAAAAATAAAAAGATTCCAAAATCGAAAAAAATTGCTCTAAACACTATCCAACACTCAAACGGAACCGAATAAAACCAATCTCTAACCAAAAAAATAGAAAAAAAAATTTTTTTAATTCAAAAAGACATCCAAAACCCACACTATCCTCCAAAAAAATAATCAAAAATGAATGGAAAACTGAAAAAAATCTTCGAATTTCCTCTAAAAAACTCTTCTGAAACAAAAATTACTGACTCCTAAGGTTGATTTCAAAGTTTTAAAATATTAAAATCGAAAAATCGCTTCAAAAACTATCCAAAACTGAAGCGGAACTAAACACTGACCAGAAAAAAAGTAGATTTCGATTGAACTGTGCAGAAAAAAAGGAACGACACGAATCAGAGAGGATTTTCCAACGCCATAAAAGGCGAAAAAAGATCGTTGCCCTCATTTCATCAGAAAAAGAAATTCTACACTCTGCAGAAAAAAGTCGAGAAGCTGTCACTTTTGCATCCTCAACTTGATATGCTAAATAGATTTTTCGATTCCCGAGGGGAGAAAAATCAATTCGAGATGGAAACTTGGAAATAAGTTTCAAATTGAATTGAAAAGCAGAACTTTTGAAAAATACTATTTTTGAGCATTTAAAAAAAATCTCTATAATTAGAGACCACTGAAAAAGTGGAGAGACCCCGACATATCTGACTTTTTCAATGTGTCTGATTCTCCAACCTTCTCACAGTCTCTAGCTTCCTTTTGAACGAGAGACTGAAAAGTTAGAGATCACTGCAAAAGAGGAGAGAGCCAGACACACCTTATTTTCTCGATGTGCCTGGTCCTCTCCAACTTTCTCACAATCTCTAGCTTCATTTTTGATGGAAGAATAAAAATAGAGAGATCACTGAAAAAGTGGAGAGACCCAGACATTTTTGACTTTCTCAATGTGTCTGGTGCTCTCCAACTTCCTCACAGTCTCTAGCTTCATTTTTGATGGAAGAATAAAAATAGAGAGATCACTGAAAAAGTGGAGAGACCCAGACACTCATTTTCTCAATGTGTCTGGCCCTCTCCAACTTTCTCACAGTCTCTAGATTCATTTTTAATGGTAGAATAAAAAGAGAGATCACTGAAAAAGTGGAGAGTCTCAGACATACAATATGTTCCCATGTGTCTGGGTCCCTCCAAAATTCCCACAGCCTATTTCAAAAAAAGTAAAACCGCATAAAACCCGATAAAACTCAAAAAAACCAAGCCCTTTCTCCAACTATAAAACCTTTATATCTCTAAAATATATATATTAATAAATAGACGAGTCTTCCAGTAATAATCACTCAAATCAGTTGCAATCAAGTTCAGTCACACACACGTGGGGCGAGAAAAATCACGAAAAAAGCGTAAAAAAAGGACAAAAACCATTAAAAAGCAGTACACAAACGGGAAAAAGGAGGAAAAGCGAAGGAGAAGAAAAACGGCCGATTGTTTTGAAGATGAAAAGATCTCGGCTGAACGTTTTTCTCTTCCTTTTGTCAGTCAACGAAGCAAATTGTGGTGAATCTGGGGCGAGGTTATATCGGTTAATGGTTCAAAGGGTTCAGAAACCAATGGTTAGGACGAATTCGAAGTTATAGTCTGTTTGAAACCGTTTCTGGCCATATTAAGGACGCAAAAAACCTAAAAACGACTTTACGCTTCGAGACCTTCTGTCTATGCTTCTTTAAGTACCTCAACAAGGATTTTTGAACAGACTACAGTGTAGTTTTAAGCCAGTTAGTGAATCTTTGAAAATATTGGAAAAATGGAATTGTTCCGAGAAAATTTCTGATCAAAACTAACTTTTCAAAAAACTTCAATTATGAGAAAAAAAAAGTTTAATTGGCTTATGCAAGACTGAAATATATGTTCGGCTTTTGTTGAGTTTATATAAGCATCTGGAAACAGGCCTTTCATGTATTGAAGAAACTTCTTCAGCTTCAAAAAAATCTTAAATTTCCCAAAGTCTGAAGGTACTCTTAATAATTTAGGCTAAGAAACTGGTTTAAGATCAATTTTTTTATAATCAAGCTGATTGAAAAGCTGAAAAATCGCATAAAGCTGAATTTTGAGCCATCCAAGGCTCAACATAACCAGAACCAGAAAAAGTTCAATTTCGAGTCTAACTGAACATATTTCTAACATAACCAAGACCCAGAAACACAAAGGGAGAAACTAAAAAGGTGCAGGAGAAGCGTTAGACATCGATATCGTCGTCATCAGGCAGGGGGACACGGATGTGCAATGAGCGTGCAAAAGAGGCGATTATGGTGGCGAAGGCGGTGCGCCAGGCGGAAGACGTCGTCGACGTCGTGGGGCCGTCGACGACGTCTTCTGTCGCTGGCGGGGCGGTGGATTCCCGACGGTGCTTCCACCACCAATGGGACGGCGTCAGGGGGGCCGAGTCCATGACGGTGGTGGTGGTGGAGGCGGCGTCGGACCAGGTGCAGGTGGTCATCGAGGACGAGGAGGACAGCGATTCGTAGCGAGTCCGGTCCGTCGTCACAGAGACTCTCGTGCGGAGAAGTGGTGCGGGAGTACGGTACGGGGTTACGGTGGACGCTCGTGGCGTCGATTCCTCACCTAGGCCGATGGGGCCGCCGTAGCCGCGCAGCTGCGATCGCGCCTCCGTCAGCTCTTCCGATTGTCGGGTCAGCTTCTCGTTCAGGTCCTGAAGCAGGGATTTGGATGAAACTGCGCCTATTTTGCGACTAAATCCGTGATAAGGAAACTATTCATGGGATTTGAAATGACGTCATACCAATGTGAAATGACGTCATACCAATGTGAAATGACATCATACTAATGTGAAATGACGTCATAAAAAAAAATGAAATGACGTCATACCAATTTGAAATGACGTCAAACCAATTTAAAATGACGTCATACAAAGTTGAAATGACGTCATACCAAATGTGAAATGACGTCATACAAAAGGTGACGTCACTAAAAAGAAAAATTGTCTTTGAAAACTGGTTTTTTTCAGTCGAATTTTTTTCCTTGTATTTTTTGACTCTTTTTTCTCTTTTTTTTCCCATAAAATTTTTGTTTCTTTCAGTGTCCGTGCAAAATTTCCTGATAAAACCCTCAAAAATCACTAAAACGAACCATATTCTCCGACGCAAGCCGTTGAACATGTTTATGAACGCCTCGAACAGCTTCTTCCAGTGAACAGTCCGAAGGTCTCTGAAAAATTAAAAATCAAATAAGTTCATTGGTGTGAGATCTACAGGAAAAAATGCAGGAATCGCTGGTTCTAAAATTAAAGTCAACCCCACCTTTTTGAGATTAAAACTCCATATCCGTATTACTACCAAAAGCTCCCTTGACTCTAAACTCATTTTCAAACCTTTATTCTCAAAATTTTTCTCATTCAACGCTGTTCCCTGGACCGATAATACTCTATGACCTTGCTTTCGCGAGATTCAAAATTCTCGGACGTTGGTAGCGCGAAACGGACGTGCTCCGGGCCTTCCCGGGCGATTCTAGGGATCACTTAAGGGTTCTGAAACTGCTCAGGACGTTTCTGGGTGATTCTAGGAATCACTTAAGAGAGCTGACGCTACTAAAATGGTCACTAGAAATGTCCCGACACGTCCGATTCGCGTTACGAGGTCCGACTTTTCAAATTTTTGTCTGCACTTCTCAACGGAGCGACCTTGCTGTTGGCAGCGCTGCTGAGAGGCTCATCGTCCTCGAATTCGTCGTCGCCGAAAGTCATGCAATAGTAGTCCGCCGAGACGGATGAGCTCCGATTCGTGTGGTTCATAATCGCCGTCGCCTCACCCATCACCGGATCAATTCAATTTTGGACCAGACAAAAACGTCTTGGCCGAGGTCAAAAAGGTCAGAACAGAATCTGTAATTTTTCTCCGTTTCGACATGATCCTGACGCACAAAAAAACAAAAAATGATTTTTTGAAACGGACGGATATAAAAAAAAGGAAAAAAAAAACATTTCACTCACTAGGGAAAATTTTAGCGCTATTTTGAGCTATTGAAGTGTTCCCTAGTCAGCCTAACAACCAATGAAAAAAAATAAAAAAATATCTTGTAAACCTCAAAAAAACTTGAGAAAAAAACTTCTATTGAAAGTTCAAAAAAGTTCAGGCCTTCAAGAAACGAAGAAAAAACCTTGACAAAAATGAGAAAGCCATTGAAAAATTTCGATGAAAAGAATCAATCGAAAGAATCCAACTTGAAAAAGGTGCACAAAATTAAAAAAACGAGAAAAAATGAGCAAGAAAACTGACTTTCATAAAGAAATGCCCGAAAACCCCAAATTCAAAAATAAAACTCAAAAAGAAGAGAAAAGTCCAAGATAAGCCCAGTCCAAGCATGGACAGCTTCAAGATTTCCAAAAAAGGAAAATGAGCAAAAAAAAGTCCCCATAGAAATCTCGACGGAAAAAACAATTTATCATGTTTCCAATACGCTTCTCAATCATTTTTCCCTTTGTCAAGGCCTAAAAAATCCTTTCTTGGCATTTTTGAAAATGAAGAGTGGAGAATGGGTCCAAAATAACTGGAAAAGTTAATTTTCGATCCTCAAAGGCCCCGAAAGGGCTTCATTAACAAAAGGGCATGGAAATTGAGGTCCACATGGAGGAAATGGCGTCATCCGAGGCGAAATTGGCCCCCTAAAAGTGGTGTCAAATCGGACAAAGACGCGAAAATCCGAGCCTATTTTGGCGATTTGACAAATAGTTGAGCTTTCGGGCATTTATTGACGGGTTTCATTGAGAATTGAGATCGCGAAGTGGACTATTTTTGAGAAAAATAGATTCAAATACTTTGAAAAATTTATTTTACACAGTTTCAAGCTCAGGAAAAGGTTCAAAAAAGCGGATAAACTCAGAATTTTCACTGGAAATCGTTTTATAATTCAAAAACTTGAAAATAAAAAATCTTGAAGCTTTTCGATCATGCATAATAGAACAAAATTTCAACATTTTAAATTTTTTCAAAAAGTTGAATAACAGTAAAATGAGTTTAAAAATCGAACAAAAACCTTTCTGATCGGTGCTACGACAAGAGCGAGTTTTCCATTTGCGAGCAGTACTGTATGCGGTAAAGCGCATTGCGTGCATGCACTCTGCGTGTTTACACTTTTTGTGGCGTGACGTCATCGCGCCGTACATCTGCGGGTTTTTGCTTTGCGGGTTTTTCAGATGTTTTTCGAATTTTTTTCCGGCTTATTTATTTTTTTCGAAACAAAAAGAAAAACTTTTTTAATTGATGAAAAACTCTGTTTGTCAAGGGGGCAGCTTAGGAAAATGTTTCTTTATAGATAGCTATTAGGTCAACTCCACAAATATGGAAAAAGAAGTAAGCTAATATTGATATTTCAAAGAGGAAAATATCAAAAAAATTGCATCATAAACAAAATACCAGTAATTGAAATAAGTTATATCAAAAAAATAAGAAAAATAAGAAAAATAACAAATTTTACAGAACCATCATATCAAACAAAAAGTCATTTTTCCCAGAAAATCTTCAAGATATTTTTGAATGTACATTGAGAGATTTGAAGGGACTTGTCAGAAATTTTACGAAAAATTGGTTTCTTGTACAATGCCGGTGTTGAGGGTGGAGGAGCAGGGACATCTTTTTTCGCCAAAACTTCCTTTGTGATTTCTTGTTGCTTTAAAATTGAGTCGAAAACAATGGCGTTAACATAATCGTCACTTTCCATCCTGAATTTCATTCATAGCACCACTTTTTTTCATTTCAAAATCTGAACGAGAGAAAAAAATATGAGAAGAAGAAGAACACGAAGATTTTTTGAGGACAAAAAGGAGCCTTCTTATAAGGTAAAAAGAAGTTTTTCTTTTTGTTTCGAAAATATTCGCACAATCAAAAACCAAAAATCCAAAAATCCAAAAAAATTCCGAAAAAAACATTGAAAAACCCGCAAGCAAAAAAACCCGCAGATGTACGGCGCGATGACGTCACGCCACAAAAAGTGTAAACACGCAGAGTGCATGCACGCAATGCGCTTTGCCGCATACAGTACTGCTCGCAAATGGAAAAACTCGCTCTTGTCGTAGCACCTTCTGATCTTTTTTTCTTTTTCTTTTTTTCTTTTTACTTCTTTCCGAGAAAACAAGCCCAAAAAAAGAGAAAAAAAGACCATAAAAAAATGCTTAGAAGCAGAAAAAAAGGAAATGGAGCCCAAGACAACAGGAAAATGAGCCGCCCCAGCTTCATCTCTTTTCGATGGGAGGAAAAAAAAAGTAGAAGAAAAAAAAACTCGATTAACCCTACATCTGCGGTCTCTAAGTATGTTGACGAGTTTCTCACTTTGAAGTTCTATTAATTAATTAGGGTCGAAAACCGGAAAAAGAAAATTTTTTGTTTTGAATTTTTTTTCGAGGTATCGGTGCGTTAAAAGCTTCGAAACTTTTTCCTTTTTTTCAAAAAAACAAAAAAATTCTGAATATTATTATGTATCCATTACTCTACTCTAAATACTGAGCTTTAATCAAAGATTAAATGAAAAGATAAGAAACATTTTCCTTTTAAAGCACCATTTCCATTGAAAGTTCCAACTGAAAGCCTTTTTACCTTCAAAAAACTTATTTCTTCTGAAAATAAGCCCAAATTCTCCATTTTCCTCCAATAAAATTCAAAAACCAGCTAGAAAAAAAGGCCACAAGACAAAATAAAAGACAGGGAAGAACTTGGAATAGAAAAAAATAGAGAAGGTGAATTTTTAAATTTTTTTCCGTAGACAAATCCAACCAAAAAGCTTACTCTTTAAAAAAACTTTTTCGAAAAATTGCGCTAAATTCTACAATTCCTCTATTTCCATAGTAAACATTTCAGTTTTCCCTGTACTTGAGATAAAAAAAGGAAGCTGGACTTTTTCACAATACAAATACCATTCAAAGCACCATTTCCATAAAAAATTTCAACCAAAAGCCTTTTTACCTCCAAAAAAACTTACTTCATCTGAAAATAGATCTAAATTCTCCACTTTAAATCATCAAAAACTCAAAAAATCACTCAAAAAACCCAATAAAAGGTCACCGGAACAAGACGAAAGAGAAGACAGGAAGGAAATGTGGAAAATGCGAACATGAAATGTTTATGAAGGGGCTTAATGTCGGGTTGGTCCAAGTTGGACAACAACACGTGTTTGTACTTCTGTTACGTCGGCGGTTCTCATTAAACTCGTTTCATCAGAGACGAAGGGATTGGAAAGTAGACATGGGCAAGTTCGTTAATCAACTCAATTTGTCGAATAATATCCTTGATTAACTAAAAAAATATAAAAAAACTAAGGAATTGAATAGAGAATGGGCACAAGAATAACTATCTGGGCGAGTTTTTAGTGGCCACTCTAGGGTTTTGACGTTTTAGTTACCACTTTAGGGTTTTGACGTTCTAGTAGCCACTACAGCAGACTTAGTGACCACTTGAGGGCCAAAAGTAAGCCTCTAAAGTCTGAGTCGTACTACCAGACTACTAAAACTACTAAAGTGGTCACTAAGAAGCAGAATAGTGGCTTCTAAGTGATTTTAGTAGTAGCCACTTAAGTGACTAATTCTTACTGACCTCTCTAGAAGTCTAAGTTACACTAATACGCCTATAAAACTACTATAGTGGTCACTAAGACGCGAAACAGTGGCTTCTCCAGAGGTGGTTCTACTGACCACTTTAGTGTCCTCTCCAAGTAGTCCTTTCGGAACCTCTCAAGGGGCCACTAGAGCCTAAATCTGAATTTCAACACTCTCATGCTCAAGTATAACTACACAACTTTAAAAATCTGCAAATTAAAGAAAATATTTCTTATTTATGCTGGAAACAGAGTCATACATCTCAAACACTGGATTAGTCTATGAACTTTAATTATAAATTTTTGAACAAAACAGGGAAAAATTGCTTCAACGGTTGAAATTTATAAAAAAATAGAGTAATTCATTTTTTTCTAGTACTGAATAATCTGAATATCAACGCGATTTTGAGAAAATAAATGATCCGAAACTCCAAAAACCAATGAAAATGAAGTTTGAAGCTCAGGGGCTCTCAAATTTGAGAAAAATCGGGTCAAAAAAACAAAACTCGACGCTTAGAGCTCACAAATTCTAACTTTTCATGCCATTTTTGGATAAATGGAGATAAAGCAACGAATTTCGCAACTTTTTCAGTAGTTATTTATGCCCAAAACGACTAGAGTATCCAAAAATAACCCCTAATGAAAGCAAAAATGACCAGGTGTGGTCAAGATTATCGTCATGGAAACGGCCGTGGGAGGTTTCCCAAAAGGCGCCAAAATTAATTTCGGAATGGCCAGGTAATTGTTGCCTTGTTGAATTGTGTTCCGAAATGATTCATTCGAGACAGGAAAGAGTTTCAAAATTGTAAGAAAAAGCAAAAAAAAACCCCTACAAAAAAACTGCTTCTTTTCGGAAAAGGCCCTTTCCAAAATTTTTACCTCAAAAGAAAACTTCAGAACTAGTTGTCTACATCCAATTGACATTGATGGAGGAAAAGCACTTGAAAATTAGAGAAATATGACAAAAACTTCTTCAAAACTGTTTTAATTTCAGCAAAAAGTGCCTCAAAAATATCTCAAAAAAGCCTTAATTTCAGAAAAAATAAATAGAAATGCGTTGACTTTATCAAAAAATGTCTCAAAACTGCCTGAGAAAAAAAAAAAATTCCTCAAAATCCCATCTTTTTTTGCCAAAAAAACGTTTCAAAAATGCGTTGATTACAACAAAAAATGCCTAAAAAATTCCTTCAATCTGAAAAAAATGCCTCTAAATGCCTTAATTTTAGCAAA